GCAGTCACCAACCAACACGGCAGACCTCAACATCGCGCACAAACGCGACCGCTGCCCTGCGTGCCGACAAGACGCACGCAACAGACACGACAGGCAGACGGACAGGGCCGTACTCATCAACAACCACAACCACCAACCAACCACCAGCACATCCCGAAGAGGGAACTTTGCATCACCCATCCTGGGCGTTCAGCTGCAAGTTGACATGGGCAGTCCCGGTGGAGGAAACCCGCGAGGTCGTTTTGTGCGCCGACGAGTGAATGTGTCAAAATCACGTGGGCGCGATTCACAGGCTGGCAAAGGGACATTTAAACTTTTTAAACATTTGTGTTTTGTAAACCTAATTGTGGAAGTGTGACGAGTACCCGCTTGTCGGTTGGTGCTCCGTCTCCTTGTGCCGCACATGGATAGCTGGCACGGGGGCGGGGGGGGTACCCATCGAATGGTTGAGATGAAATGTGATATAAGGTGCTTTGGATTGCAGAGGCATTTAAGCAACCGCCATATAAACGTAGCGATTGTGAGATCATCATTATTATTGTTATTATAAGAAATGGCACGCGAATCGAGGATTAAGTCTCGGGAGAAGTTTCGAGTTCAGTAACGTCGATCTGTCGGCAACAACATCGTCCGGCTACGGGGATTCTGAGAACTTCACGTACATTTGTTAAAAATCTGTAATCACTAACGATGGTTCAACTTTATTATTTCCTAAATATAATTGCATAACTGTATTAGTACCATTATTCTTGCAAAACAAAGTTCACTTGTGTTTTTATCCCTCTCTTCACCAACCCAAGCAGCAATCGGGGCCGTTGCCAGAACGCTTTTCAACGATTTCCGCCGAGACAAACGAAACTCTCCGGTCAGAATAACAAAACAAAAATCTCCCTGTGCCAACCCAGTTCGCGCGCCGTTACGATATTCTTACAAAATCGACGACCGCCAAAAAAAGTGCCCCGTGTGTGTGTGTGGGAAGTAGGTGCTTCTCTTAAGGCAAATGGGGAAAAAGCAGCATTCATGATCCAGGGTGGAGGAGGACAGGCAAGACGGGACAGGCGGTGGTGAACAACAGCAGCAGACAGCAAAGACAACAGACGGCAGGGAATGGGGCCCGCGACGAGACAACACAGGGTGACGCTTCTGCTGCTGTTGGGAGCACGTGCTGGGTAGGAGAAAGTATTCCACGGACAAATGTAGAAGGGTCACGAAAGGAGGTTTTTGTTCTGTACCACCTGGGGTGGCAAATGCTGCCAGTACAGTACTGTCCACCATGGATGGGCAGTGTCCACCATCAGCAAAAAAACCTTCCATTTCAGACACACTTCCCATTTGTTCTCACATGTCAGACAGTTCATAATCGCGTTCGCTTCTTGCGTTCCAAAACGATATGCTCAAAACCGGCCACTTTCTGAAAGCCACGAGGAAACCCCCACACACAATCGCAACGGGAGAAAGCGTTTGCCGCCTGGACGCGAATCGAACATCGCAACGCGCACCCCCCGCTGCTCACGCGCATGCCCCTGCATGGAACTGTAGACGCAATGTAGTGGTCACATGACATGCATGCAAGAGGCAAGATGGGAGTTGTTGCCTCTCGCCCGTTTGTGAGCACACCCGTTGCGCGCCGTGACGTCTGTGCAGTATTCTCTCTGCTGAGCACGCCGTGGTATCCTTTTGTGACATTTTCTCATGAGACGCAAGCGCGACCCGACCTTGCTATCCATATGTATTTCTGAACCAGCGATAACATGCGTCAACAACAATCATTGGTGGCATACGCGGCCCCCCCCCCCCTGACTCCCCCGGTGGTACCGATAATCAATTTTCAGGCCACTGGCTCCGGAGGGGGGGGGGGGGGCGGGGACACACACCCATAATTAGGCACACAGCACCCACACCGAGTGAGCCCAGCTGGTCCCTCAGCAAACTTTTCAGGCACTTGACGCACTAGGATTTCTCTCGCTCGTGGATAGATTCCCGTTTCGTAAAAAAAGACAAATCTCATCTCGTTGCTCTCACGGTTTAAGCGTTCCAACTCGGTGTGCGCGGGTGTCTCGAACAAGTAAACGACAAGGACGACGCACGCGTACCCGGCTGGCGGCGGTGGGGGGTTGGGGATCAAGGGTAGCTACGCGACCACGTGGCAGACTTTGTGGCGAGCTTTCTGTACAAACACAGGCCACCTAGAAATAGTCGGATTGTCATAAGCTGTTTCCACTGCAGGCGCGTGTGCGTGTATGCGCAGGTGAGCGGTGCCCGCCCGGACGCAAGAGCGCAATGGAAACGGGCGCTAAGCTCGCGAAACTTGCCGTTGCGTGAGTACGGTACGAGACGGAATTTAGCGACATTCTGGGGGCAACGCGAGTTCCGTGGCCGGCTACCTACATACCCAATGTGTAATCCGATAAAGTTTCAATGCGCATTTACTCTTAAAGTTAATTGATTTCTACAATTACGTGAACCGTTTGTCAGTCGAATTGTTCACGTTTTTATGCCAACTCAATATCTGCATTGTGGCGAGGGGCATTGTGGGTAGCAGATATGAACAGATATGGACAGAACTCGGCCAGCGGCTTTCCAGACCAACATTAACCAGCAGCGTTTGTTTAATCGAGCACTCTCGGTACTGGTTTAAGACCATTGGGGTCTCATTAGCAGCGAGGTTTCCTAAACAAAATGTGAATGCGAATAACCACGACTATGTGACCAGTTGCAAAAAAAAGATATCGTAAGTGAAAAGAAAATGTCGAATTCCAGTAAAGCTTTTTGATGCAAAGGTCACATAATCCCTTAAAATAATATTTTCTCGCATGAAAGACGTATTTTAGTGGAAGCTGGTGTTAGAAAGGAATCATTTTGATTGCAACGCATGTACTTTAACAATTAATTTTCAAGAGAAAACATTTATTTCGAATTAAAAATTATTTCTTCGTCGAATAACGGCACGAGAATTCCACCTAACTTTTGGCAAGAGCCACCAGGGGAAGGAAAGAGAGATCCACACTTTTTGTGAAGGGCACTTGGGTAACAAAGGTAGCGACGGTTAGAATTCCCATTTGAAAGAATAAGTAAATGTTCATTATAAAAATGTGAAAGGTCACAACCTTGGCATTTAATACACCGCTTCCGACCGCTGGACTGACCGCAAAGTCTGCCAACAAACTCAACGGACTTTGGTATTTTACAGCATAATACAGACTTTCCTTGGCTACGTTTTGTAATGTTGGGCACGATGATTGTGGCAAGTGATTCTAAGTATCTGAAAGACAACGATCACGCGGAAACAACAAGAGGAAGAATACAATGGGCATCGAAATTTTCAGCCAGTGGTGTTAAGTTAAAAGTCTACTTACTCATTTAGAACATATCCTAGAAATGCCAGATGTAGGAGCTTCCAACATGCAGGAACACGGAATTGAGTTAATAACCACAATGACGTCTGCCGTTACAGCGATGGCATTGCCATGGGGCCTGCCACACTGCAACCAAATCTTGTACAGAGTAGGGGTGGGGAGGGAAACCGTTTCCTTATCGAGGGTGCCGAACAGGACTTCAAAATTCCCTTTGGCAGGCAAACACACGCAAACCACGTGCGTTAATGTACGTTCGCGTTTTACCTGTGGCAACTTGAGAAATAGCGAGGCCCCACCTTCACCGAAATGCACCAATACGAGGCCCGCAACCCGCTCTGCGATCACCAACAGTGTGTCGGTGTCGCGTCAGTTCCGAAATTAACTGACGACCAAGATGCAAATTCTGATAAATATCTTTTGAGTCGGATAAAAATGAAGTCACGGGTTCCCCAACCCTGCTATGGACGGGAGCGGCCGTCAAAGTGGGAATTGAATATGCCCATCGCACAGTGTGTCCTGTAATATTTCACGAGGGTTTATCACAAACCAGAGACAACCGACAACGCACGGTCACCAACAGGGGGCTCAAATGCACCGCCCGCTGTCGGTTGAGAAGGAGTGTGCTTAAGAATCAAATCTGCATGGACAAGGATGCAGTTGCCATGGGATTGGGGAAAAAGAACATTGCGATCAATTACTGTAGAAGGGATAAATTGAACGAGAAAAGAAAAGTAGACTAACACTTCAAGCAATGGCCCTTTTTAAAGAGTAGCCATTCCCAAAACATCATCCCATCTTAGCTTGCCTGGTCAAGTCAGCACGGCCAAAGCTGATCATGGCGTTCACACCTCCACCAACGCCTTTCTACATTTTATTTTTGTTCTGCTTTTTCACCTTTGCTGCGAGTGCAGCACTAACGCTGAAAGTGTCGAGTTGCATTCCACACCTGTCTGCACACCCCGCTGCCAACGCAGCCATTCGTTAAGCGAGCAGGAGGGGTGTCAAGCCGTTAACGTCGATGCCACACGATGCAGGACGCTGATAAAAGAAGGGCTTCCCCCAATCCCCAAAATGCCTTTTTCGTCGTCACACAACCGCACGGCAAATCAAACGTGCGCGCATGCAGCGGCGTGACTGCCGACCTCCGTCACGGTGGGGGTGGGATTGGGAGGGGTGGTTGCACCGCCGCTCCGATTTAAGACAAAGTTTTTTCCATGCAACCCACACCGCAAACCCGCGTCGGTCGACAGGGTCTGACGTCGGAAAAAGGAAAACCCCCCGTCCCACGAAAAGTGCGGCCTCCCACGATGAGATGAACAAAAAAAAAACGGTCAAACCGGTCGCGGTGACAAATAACCCGTGCGGCCAGTCACGCGCCGCAAGCGCTTGCGCCTGGAAAGAACACGCCGTCGCGAGTCAATATTTATGCTGCGCACGATTGGAAGGAAAGGAACACAAAAAAAACACAAGATCTGACGGTGAGACGGGATTAATGCTGCGGTTATCACTGGGGCGCGTCTCGAGTTGCCACGCGCTGGGCCAGTGCGCGACCCAGAGGGGTCGGGGGGCCCCTTCACTCTCAACAAGAACGACACTGAGCGCGTACATTTCCAAGTAAGTCTCTTGTTAGAGTATCACGGTATATATCTGAAATACTTTTTATTTTATTTTAATTGTCGGTTGGAATCAAACACGAGCGATGAAGAGAACAGTACCGTTAATATCACGTTCACCCAATTCATTACATCACACATCTTTATTTACAGTATATCAACGTCGGTTTGCGATGAACATTAAGGAAATAAAACAAAACCAAACTGTGCAGTCTGTGGAGCACGTTTGCTACCGAGAAAATAGATATGCCAACCAAATGACACCTAAATACGTACGATCATAGCATTAATCAAGCACAATTATTCGCCAGTGTTCATTAAAAAGAAAGCTTCCAAACATAAACTGGCCTAAATAATATACATTACTCGAATCAACTGTGCGTGGTGCTACACACCAGATAGTGTTGAAATATATAAAGAAACCCCAACAGACTAAGGCAGCCCCAACGTGAACAAAGAAAAAAATAACCAGACAACGAAAAATTATATTCTGTATGCTACACAGCCATAAATTAATTATCCCCCTTACAAAATATTTATTTTTTATAATTTTTTTTACCTCCAAAGTTCATTCTTACAGCGTATAAAATCAACATTCACTTGGATTTGTAGCAAGCTATACAATTACAAGTGAGAGAGAGAGAGCAAGGCTCAGAGCAGTAAACAATTCAGGCCTATTTCCATTACAAAATGTACCCAAAATATTCAATTTTTTCTCTGCTCCTAATCTATGTATTTAGCAAAACCGAGCCTCTGCACTCCGTCCCGTGTTTTCGCTCCACCTCCACCGTGATGATCTGTGGTCACGCGTCAGCAGCTCAAGCCCAACATCGATGTGCCCTTTCGTTGCATGAAACAAACGAATACTAAAAACCCAAAACGTAAAATAACAAACCCCTCCCCCCCCCCCGTTTGAGAGCTGCCCACAGTGCGGCCACGACGCCCGCCCGCTGGGACGCCCGCCACACCGTACGTGAAGAGAAACCAAGCCCGGCCGAGAGCAACGCATTTTGGCAGAAGGGCGACGCTGTACAACGGCAAATAGGGAGATGGTCAAACGCTTAGCTCGGTGGGTCTGTTGGGGGGGGGGGGGGGGGGGAGCAACCGGTGCGGTGAGACGGGAGTGGGGGAACGCATTTTTTTGACCAACAGCCACAAGAGTCACCGTTTCATGCAAAGCTGCCCGCGCGCAAGCAACGGGGGGGACAGGGCTGCCGCCGTCGGGTTCGCCGTACACGTGAAGACGACGTCACTTCGGGAGGGTGAGCAAATGACAAAGCAGAAATGTATATCATCATCACCACCATCACTATCATCACCACCACGAGATGTGGGGCGCACACACGCACAGCTCCTGTACACATACCCGCTCTCCAGCACTTCAAGCATCACCACGAAATTAAGCTCACTTCCACGGACGTGAAATAAGCCCCGGAATCCAGGTAGCAGAGGCGGCGGTGGCGTCCGGCGGGCTGACGACGCGGTTACACAGTACCCTGAAGGACTAAAACAAAATCATATCTGGAGTGCACCAAACGCCAACATCCGAGTCCAAGGCTCGAGTGACATTACCAACCACGGAGAGAAAATTTCACGAGAGAAGGGACGGCGAGGGCTGTTGACGGCGGAGGGCTGAGCATTTGGGGGGGGGGGGGAAGATAAGAAGGTTGTGGTGGGGAGACGGGGAAGACAACGAGAGGTGGGGGGGCGGTAGGGTGGGGGGGGGTGGGGGTGGCACTCGCATCATCTCCCGGGGCCGTCGGCTAGAGCTTGAGCTCATTGGAGATCTTGGAAGCGATGTTCTTGAAAGCGATGGAGCTGCCTGAGATGCGCTTGAAGCGCACGCCGTTGAGCGAGAGGCGCGGGAGCTTGCACACCTCCATCTCCCAGCAGACGAGGTCACTGCCGACGCCACCGCCGCCGCCGCCACTTCCGTGATCGTCGCCGTGCATGCAGTAGAGCAGGAAGGGCTCGCGCACCTCGCAGTCGCACCGGTTGGCGTCCAGCACCTTGCGGATCTCGCGCATCATCTCGCGCGCGTCCATCGAGCTCGTCGTCTTCATGCTCCACGTGAAGCGCAGCGCGCGGGGCTTGGGATCGCGCGGGATCTCCTCCCGCGGCTCAGCAAACGGCGTCCGGCTACCGCCACCGCTGGCGGTGCGGGAGAAGGCGGGAGGAGGAGCGGGGAAGGTGGGAGGAGGGGGAGTAGGAGAGTGGGCCAGAGGCAGGGGGGTAACATGGGTCAATTAGTCTGGAAGTCGGTGACTTTTTCCAATTTTTTTTGTCTTTTTCCACAATTTTATTCGAGTTGGTGCCAAGTCATGGGACCAATAATCCAGTTGGAACTCCACCGATCAGTGCAACAACTTTGCCACGGAGAAATGTCCACAGAAGCTGTTAGTTAACGAGATACCTCTGAGAAACTCTTCAAGTGAAGTCTGGCTAACAGAGTAGTGGTCAGCACTTTACCACCCTCCCCTACTGCAAGCAGATCAATGTTCATTGGATGATAGTCAAACGGATCATTTTCATTCTAAGAGCTGGAATTTAGCCCAATAAAGTATGAAACCGCATTCAACGTGACTTTTATTTCCCGCGTAGTCATTGAAGGGTGGGCTGCGACCCATCAACTATCGCGACACTTGCGAGCTCAGCTTTTAATCGGAGGCGGCAGTGACGTGGATTCACAACTCCAGGATCTCAGCGGCGTCGTCTCACCGCTCTGACCTGAGCCACCCCCCGGCCACCGCTATTTGCGCAGCAGGGAGCAGGGCAGTGCAGGACAAGAACGTCAGCTGGGGGATTGCAACGCCAACTCACCTGGGTCCCTCGAGCCTGCCGTTCTTCTCCACCTCATTGACAGCCCTCCAGAGACACAAGAGACACGGAGCAGCAGATTAGACACGGCGTGGTGGACGAAGGTGCCATTCACAGAGGTCACACGGAGAGAGCCAGACACCAAGACAACGTGGCAGCAGAGTCGACAAGACAGTGCAACTACTGGCCCTTTCCCGGGGTTGAAACGAGGCCACCGAGGATACCACACCGTTAACCGCAACGTTAACCGCACCGTTAACCGCACCGTTAACCACACCGTTATCCACACCGTAGCGTTAGCGATGCTCGGCCTCGTGCTGCGCCAAACAAAACCGGGCCCCATTTTCGCGCACAGACGGAAAATGGATGAGGGCTCTCGTAGGAGAAGACACGACGACAGGAAGGACCATCGCATTGGCGTGGGGAGAGGGGGGGGAAGGGGGGGGAGGAGATAACACAGGCGTCGTTGTGCCACGGGGAGGAGCAGAATGCCCAACAAAGCAAGGCTCGGCCACCGTGCGCTTTGTCCCCATGCAGGAAAAGCACGGCACACCACGGGGGGGGGGGTACATATCGCGGGGGCAACACCGCATGGGCAACACCGTGGGGGCACACCGTGCAACCAATCACAACAACGAGCCACGCGCAGCGCAAGGAGAGGTTAGGGTTAGTGTGGCGAGCTGGAAACGGATGCGTTGGGGTTATGGAGAGACCGACATGAAAAATGAATAATGGTGCACTCGGCCTACCTTCTGGTAAATCGGATAGACAGATTTCTACAGCCAAATAAATAAATAAAAAGAAAGCAAAACAAAAAGGAAGAAAATTGTGAGATGGCATGTAAACGATAAACGTTTGACTTTAATTACTTTTAAGCTTGGGCAAATGAGCATGTGGTTCAGGTATACACAGCATAACAAATGTTGATGTCACTTGATTGAGTCAACGGGGCCAAGCGGTCCTTCTTCGAGTGTTGTCAAGTAGCGTGGTGGGCGAGGCGGTGGGCGGAATGGGTGATTAAGGAGATGCAAGTGCACTTATAGCACGGATGAATGAATGAATGAAAATGTCTGTGTTATGCATTCCAAACGCGTGGCCTCCTAAATACCACACATTTAAATCGAGCGGCAGAAAAAACTGGGGCACGGCTAGCAGCGGTCACACACTATTTTCAACCCTTGACCAAAGTCAACAAGAAAAAAATGATTTCCTGCTCAAATGAGTGTCGGCGGCGGTGCTCACCACTTAATATTTACAGCCCTGAGCCAGAGGGAGGTTGAACTTCCGCACTCCTACAATAAAATTCCACATTGCAACAGTCTGTTGACAATTGACCCCACCCCCTTCAACCAAAAGCGGTTACTCAGGTAAAACGAACATTTTCGTCACAGCCAATGCAATGATCCACGTTTATTTCTGGGCCAGGTCACGTGATGGTATTTTTATTCCAGTTTATTAACATCGGAGGGACGGGACATCAGGGGCGAGTGAACCTGTTGCCGCAAAGTCATCTCCCTCGCCTGGTACGCAGGAGGCCCTGGGTTCGACACTGATGATGCCTTCGGAATACTTTGGAGTTCATGTGATTTCTAACTCTCCCCATGGCGGTGGCGTGGATTTTTCTCCAGGTCCTCCCGTTTTCTCCTCTCCACATTTAGAAAAATGCACAAACATTGTTTGGCTGCTACTATAAATTCCCACGTATGATAATCCACTTTGATGAGCTATCAAGTATTCTCAGATCGCCTCTGAAACAAATCTAATAGCTTGGTGGGCTATACCTGGTAAATAAACTAGTTGAATTTTAACCTCCTCAACCGGTATATAAAATGGCAATTAATTTCTAACACTGTCTGTAAACATAAATTGGGTTCGTACGTTACTCTTTGTGGAACACCGCTTCCGCTTAGCATGTAAAGGCCATTCGCAAAGCAAGCGGAATTTTTCCATCCCACTCGGCTCATATACTTTGCTGGTAGTAGCAGTGGAAACAGAAAGCAGTCAAGTCGATGAAGCAACGTGCGCACGTCAGATATAAAAAGTCCTGCGGTGAAAACGCACAAACTTTTAAAAATCCAAAAGAGTAAAGCTGCTCGCATTCCATCGCACGCTTGTAGCAATCCATACCGCCCACCCCCCTGCCACCACTGTAATTTAACCGTCATCGGAAATACACGGTGTGGTGAGGAGATGGCAGTGCCCAGTGCAACTCCTTGTATACACAGTGGTGGGGCTTGCCTTACACACAAAGTCACTGTCATTCATGGAATTGGCACTTCTGAGAAATAAATCTTGAGACTCGGTGAGGCATTTCTGGGCGAATCACTGGCATCATTATTATAACTGGAATATTGTGTCGTAACTCGGAGCAACAATTCAAGAATAAGTTGATCTCATTTGTGCTTTTTTAATTTTTATGTCTTGTGTTGTACAGTTTTGCACTCTCCATTAGCCAATATGTAATATTATCACGCTACCTAAATTCGTTTGCCTTAACTGTAAGACTAATTCTCACACAAGATTTGATGCATGTACCATGTAAACTAAGCGTAAGGATCTATTTTGATCGATGAATTAATTGTTGCATGCCTAGACGATTGCACGAGCAACCTCGACCCATTAGGTAAAATATCGACATCGAGGTTTGTTAAAATAAACAGGCAAGCAGAGCCCACCCAAACACCTAAAACTCGTTTCACACATCCAAACGAGTCACTGGGCAAAAGCAAAAGTTGGGAGCATCTAAGGTGGCAAAAATTAGGTGGTGCCAATTAATATTGCCAATATAAGTGAATATACGTCAATGACCAATTCACCCAGAATCAGAGGTTGCAACCGGGTACCCGATACCCGTACCCGGCCGGGTACGGGTAGCCGTTTGCGACCCTGGTGCGGCCGGGTACGGGTACGGGAAGGCCGTGAGTCACTGGTGAGTAACCGTTTGTCACTCATTTCGGATAGGGTACGGAATGGGTACACGTACCCGGCCGGGAACGGGTACCCATTTGCGACCCTGGTGCGGCCGGGTACGGGTAAGGAATCAAAACCCGTTTGCGACCTCTGGCCAGAATATACCCTCCTGTATGTATTACTAATTTATTTAAACTGCATGCACTTGCCTAGCCTAACGAGGAGTTGCTCATCATTAACATAATGCTTAAAGAATGTTCCCACCCCTACCCACCAACAATGTTATCCCGATTGCTTTATTGGCATCGTATCATGAGACAAAGTCTCCATTCGGAACACTCGCAGAGCAGTAACTCGCCTACGTGCATAGTACAGAGCTACCTGTGACGTCTCTTTAAGTGACCTCTAGTCTGTACAGTAGAGGGCAGCACACTCATATGAATGCCCGTCCATGACAGCCAAACAATGCATTCATATGTATAGCCAAATTAAGCAACAGAACTCAATTTACCGTGATGGGTTTTCTTCGCGTGCAAAATCATTGGTCGACTCACTACGCTTGGGACCTGGCTTAATTACAACATTGTCTGCGCGTGTATACGAATCTCTGCGAAAGTCTACGATGTCTTTATGAAAGTCTCCGGTTTAAACGCAGGCGGCTGCTGAGACCCACGTTCCATCTCAGTGCTCAGAGCCACAAGCGGTCAACCTCGAGCATTTTGGAGTAAACACCCTGACGCTTGTCACCACGGTGCGAAGCAAAGGAAGACCAACGTAGTAATTGAATGAGAGTTTTCATCGTTCGGCGACATCATTATATATCGTTTTTGATAGAGCGTCCATCATGCTAGGGTGTTTCACAGCACTTTAAACAAGATATTAATACAATAACGGTTTTAAAATGTGGCTGATTAACAACAAGCAGATACATGCGGTCTCTGGTTTATGACGTTCCGATATACGACGATAAACATTTACAACGTTAATATGCCACCATGGGTACATTTACGACGCAGAAACTTGATTTACGACGGATCTTCTGACATGACTCCGAACAGGTTTGAACAGTCAGTTTGGTTTCCGATGTGACTTGGCGTGAAACTTTTGAAATTCTCAAGTTTTTTTCGGAATTTTGACCTATTACACCCTATTAAATATGGTTGACAAAGGGAAAAACACATCAGCAAGTGATGTGTCTCCTGTTTCTACTGTCTGTGGGAAAATAGGGTCAGATTTACGACAGGGTTGTAAAAGCAGGAACCAACTGTACTTGGAAAACTTACTCTGACCCAACTTTTCATCCATTTCAGAAAAAAATACTTTTGCATTGTCACAAATACAATTAAAAGGCACACAAACAAATCAACAAGGACAGAAAAAGCTCCCCACAGTATTTCCAGCCTTTTGGGGCATGCTTGTTTTGTTAGCGAGTAAACTAAAACTAACCCATTTATTTTATTTTACCAGGTAAGGCGCACTGCGCAGTATAGCTCTTCTTCTTGGTTCTTTCGGTAAAGTCACGTAGAAGGGAAGTAATAAAATAATAAAAATAAAACATAATAAAACAATTCTCACGACGTTTCGGCTACAACGCAAGCAGCCGTCTTCAGGTGAAGAATGAGACAATGCCAAGCTAGGAGCTTATATATAAGCTGCGTTGGAGGTGGAGGAAAGAGCGCCTTAACAAAAGAATGTGCATGTGAAGAGGAATTTAGCATATTCATGGAAAATGCGTAGGAGGTGGGCGGGGGGGTTTCAAAGTCATATTATGCCCATGCATTATGCAGGATCAACAGCACCAAGGGGGGGGTGCAGGGATTAGCAGTAACAAAGGAAAGGAATGTTAATGATATGTAGCTGCAGTTACTCAACCACCACGTAGAAAACTAAAGTATAAACTACATAAAAAACTAAAGTATAAATAGCATAGCACCATCAGTATACTTACTATACTCTACACTAAGCTGAGTTACTAACAGCAAGTAATACATTACAATTCTACGTCGTAAAAATTATATAATATGCTTCCATCTAAACTTTATTCTATTGCATCAACGAGCATATACCGTACTATATACTGCCAACATTAAATTATATACTGTATTGCTGTAAACCAACCTATATCTTATACATTTAATATAACACTATGTATTATTCTACCCACCCTAATGTGTGTCGAAATGGTTTATTACGTCCTTCCAATGATTGCTAAGCCAGAATCCATCTTCTCGGTTAAAATTGTTTCTGTGTTTGTATATGTGGATCGCCTCATGAACGAATCTCTCATGATAGCCAGATGGCTTGCAGAGAACCTCTGTCTTGGAGAAGTCAATGTCATGTGAGCCCACTGAATTGTAACAGTGATCTGCCACGGCTGAGGTGTTTGTCCTACCGTGTTTCAGGTCTGCCTTATGTTCACGGATGCGGTCCGAGACATGTCGTTTGGTTTCTCCAATGTAACTGTTACCACAGAGGCAACTTAGTTTGTAGACGCCAGGGTACTGTATGTCTGGAACCACATCTTTTACAGACGGGACCAGATCACGGATTTTATGTACTGTGTTGAATCGGACCTGGATCTTGTGTTTAATCAGGATTTTGGAGATCTTTTTTGTGACCCCAGCAATGTAGGGTAAGGTGATGGTCTTGAAAGGCTCCTCAACAGGATCCTTCTTGATGGTTGGAGTGATGGCTTTGCGGATTGTGTAGTCGGAGTAACCATTAGCCTTAAGAGCTTGGCGTACGTGTTTGAGTTCACTGGAAATGTGTTCATGGTCGGAGATGCATTGGGCTCTATGATATAGAGTCTTGATGAGGGAATTCTTCTGGGATGGATGGTGGTGGGAATCCGGTTTTAGATAAGCATCCGTGTGGGTGGCTTTCCTGTAGAGAGAGTGGCTCATTGAACCATCAGGTCTCCTTTTGATTAGGACATCCAAAAAGGGTAGCTTGCCATCATTTTCGACTTCCATGGTGAATCTGATGGCTGGGTGTATGGAATTGATGTGGTCGAGAAATTGGTCTAGAGTAGGCCGGCCATGTGGCCAGATGACAAAAGTGTCGTCTACGTACCTCTTCCATAAGGTCGGGCGTAGAGTGGCAGTCTGGATGGCGTCCGTCTCAAATTTCTCCATGAAGATGTTGGCTACAACCGGAGACAGGGGGGAGCCCATTGGGGTGCCCTCAATTTGCTTGTAGAAGGTTCCATTCCAGGTGAAGTATGTATTGGTTAAGCAGTGTCTCACCAGGGGGGGTACCCCAGCATTCAGTCCTTGATGAACCAAGTCTTCAATGATTGCGATGGTGTCAGGCACAGGCACCTTGGTGAACAAGGAAACCACATCAAAACTGACAAGCAGGTCGTCTGGGGACAGGGCAATCCCCTTGATTGTCGATACCAGGTCAGTAGAGTTTAGTACTGCAGAGGTGGTTTTTCCAGTGAAAGGCCGTAGGATTTCGGACAAAAAACGAGCCAGTTTGTAAGTGGGGGAGTTGATAGTAGAGACAATGGGACGAAGAGGTGTATCTTCTTTATGTATCTTTGGCAAGCCAAAGATAAACGTGAAAATAATATAACACATAGTGTTATATTAAATGTATAAGATATAGGTTGGTTTACAGCAATACAGTATATAATTTAATGTTGGCAGTATATAGTACGGTATATGCTCGTTGATGCAATAGAATAAAGTTTAGATGGAAGCATATTATATAATTTTTACGACGTAGAATTGTAATGTATTACTTGCTGCTAGTAACTCAGCTTAGTGTAGAGTATAGTAAGTATACTGATGGTGCTATGCTATTTATACTTTAGTTTTTTATGTAGTTTATACTTTAGTTTTCTACGTGGTGGTTGAGTAACTGCAGCTACATATCATTAACATTCCTTTCCTTTGTTACTGCTAATCCCTGCACCCCCCCCTTGGTGCTGTTGATCCTGCATAATGCATGGGCATAATATGACTTTGAAACCCCCCCGCCCACCTCCTACGCATTTTCCATGAATATGCTAAATTCCTCTTCACATGCACATTCTTTTGTTAAGGCGCTCTTTCCTCCACCTCCAACGCAGCTTATATATAAGCTCCTAGCTTGGCATTGTCTCATTCTTCACCTGAAGACGGCTGCTTGCGTTGTAGCCGAAACGTCGTGAGAATTGTTTTATTATGTTTTATTTTTATTATTTTATTACTTCCCTTCTACGTGACTTTACCGAAAGAACCAAGAAGATGAATCCCTGCAGTCACGAAAGCTTTAAATCGAAAAAAGTATAGCTCTTTTTTAGAAGCTGGCCACAAATAATAGCTCAACGAAGTGGCTTATGATCACGTGGAAATTTATATCAGCCAAATACTCTAAACGCATGTTGATTCTCAAAAACTGGAGGACCCAGAGAAAAATCCACACGATCATTGGGAGAACATGCAGACTCCAAATATACAGGCATCAGGGTCGGGATCGAACCCACAACCTCCTCCATACCAGGCGAGGTAGTTAACATCTTGCTACTGTGGTACCAGCAACTGTGACCGCCAGACAAAGCCAAAAAGCCCTCACGTATAGCCTTAACAGACTGTCAGGGCAAGTGCTGTTAACGAGCACCTATGAAAGGCCGGCACGGTACACGAGGGGGTGGGAGGCCAACACCATGCCCGGCTGCCTTTGTCCCCCCAGTGGCGATGTTTATTTAACACACCACACCAGGTACTCATTTGAGTCGACCTAGGGGAGGCCCAGGACCGGAACAGATAATCATCCCTGGCGTTGGCCACAACAACAACCACCATTCGTCACTAAGTGGCGGCGACGTCACCACGGCGCTTGTGCCAGGCTATGTGCACTTTAAGGTGTTGGCTACACACACACACACACAAGCACAGACGCACGCACTCACCTGCGGCTGAGCCGCGCCGTCAAACGGGAGAACATGTTGCCGGAGGCACTGCTTCCCCGGGCGCCGTCACGCGTGGCACGGGAGAGGCCGCCGGTGCCATCGCCGGGCTCTGCGGCGCCGCCAGCGTTGGCATTGCCGGTGGTGGTGCGCCGGTCGCGCACCTGCCCGCCGTGGAAGGTGCTGCGAGTGGCCATGCCGCGCGGAAAGTAGTTCCGGTTGTCGCCGGCTCCGCCAGCACTCACGCTGTGCGATGACGGCGAAGCACGTCCGCTCTGTTCCGCCCTGCCGGTGCCGCGGGAAAAATGGGGTGGGGGGGGGGAGGAAGAAAACGTGAAAATAATAAAAACGATAACGCCAGCGAAGACAACAAAGCACTCACACACACACACACACACTGGCCCACTCACGCACTCACCATACTGCAGGTCACAAGATTCTTCTCTCGCAAGTCTCCACTTTAGATTCCCCTCCCATCACCTCTTTGTCCAATCTCTCATGCTCTTGCTCAATTCGAGAGAAGTATTGTGCCGTTGATTGCTGGCGTCGTGGCATTTTGTGCCTTTACTCAGCAATGTTGATGAAAGTATTAATATACGGCCTCAAGATTCGATTTTTCGTGCGGCACGTGTTTCAGCATTAGCGAGTCTGATGCCAGCATGTTCTGCTTCTATAGCGTCCAGAAGCACACTTTACCGCTTACCCGATGCCACATTGAGGTTCGTTTTCATGCAGGAGTGGCCGATGACTTGGGACGTTACGATTGCGCCACTCTCCCCCACCCCCCCCCCCCCCCCAGCAATCTGATGGATTGCCACGATTCAGGTGCTCAAAGATTGATCGTTAAAATTTGCGCAAATTGTAATCGGTTCTTGCCCGCACGATTTAACGCGTTAGTCGAGAGCACGAGGATCAATTTCAATCGATGAATACATCGATGCATCATGGTTAATCTACTGCTGGGAGGCTCCCTACACGAGCCATTGTCATCTCTCACGCTTGCAAGAATCCATCTGCATTGTAAATATCCGTTCAGCGCTGACGCACGAGCCGATACCGTCGCTCTGTCTGTGCTGTGGAGAACCACTAATGATTTGAAAGGGGTTAATTTTTGGTTAGTAGCGACTAAGCCAAGAAGCTTTAAAGGAGGAAGCAAGGGTTAATCCAAACAGCTCCTATACGTACGCACCTCGGCTATGTACGCCGGGCAGGCATTTCGAGCTCTCGTAACGAGAAACAAAATATTTTTACGTTCTAGTCAAGCAAAGCCACCGTGTAGCACACGGGTAGCATCGCTGCGTTGATGCATTAAAATGTATGAGAGTGACATTACTCTCATACATGTCGTGCTAATGTTGCGTGCCCGCTTGACCGTGACATTCAAGTCCTTTGTAGTCATCGGTATTAATGATGAGGTGTGAAGACTTGTGTTGGGACAGCCGGGCGGCATGCACTGGCCTCGGTGCGTTATCTTCCAGATAATAATTTTCGTTGTTTCGATTGCGTCAATTTAACCGGTTCCGACAATTCCCACAAGGCTGTGCTGCAAGCGAAGGGTTGTACAGAGTACAACCCTTCGCAAGGCTGTGGCTGGGGGGGGACTAAGCAAAAAGCGTGAAACAACTTCCCTCCCCTCCACCTGAGTGACTATATTTAAATAAACGATTTAAGATCGATGATCGAGAACAGGTTCTTTATCCGGTCTCATCTGTACTCTCTTTCTCGGTCCAGGGGATTAGCCCAAAAGAGAGCTTCCTCAAAATCCATTGCTTACAACCAACCACAATGTGTGCCAATTTAATTTCAACGTATTTTTTTTCGTAATTTTTCCCAGTTTCATCCCAATTTTGCTATCGGCATCACATCATGTGACACAGAGCCTTCGTGTCGAAGAACGGCCCGCGGCGGCGGAGATCAGAGCTAACTCCTCTGAGATCCCTTCAGGAGAACGCACGTTCTCTACGTCACACAGGGCGTGTTCGACGATCACCGGAGGAGCGTGCGCGGCGAGTAAATGCGGAATCTGCTTCTCAGTATATGAAATCCGGAGGAGAGATCTCAATTTGTAGGAGAGATTGGTGAACGCGGTTCACGAGTACTGGAGTTTCGCAAGACCTAACAATATATCGTCTGCGCAAAACCTGCGCTGGTCGTAAACAGTCCAATCGCACGTGCACCAATTGACCCGTGTATTAGTGACCAACCTCAACAATCACGGTCGTTTTCGATTCAATGGATTGCGACTGCTTGGCAATTGCCGCCCGGTTCTCACAAGCGTGCGAGGGGAGCGCGGTGCGCAAGAGGAGCAGGGCAGTGGGGTGAGGGAAGGGCGGTGCGCGATGGGATGGCGATGATCGCTTACGTGGAGTAAAGCGAGTCGGACACCTCCGAGAGTGTGCCCGGGTGCTCCGACGAGGACAAGGACTTTTGGTGGCGCGTGCGCGCGGACACGACCGTCGGTAAGGGGGCGCCGGCGGCAGGCGAGGAGGAGGAGGAGGTGGTGGTGGAAGAGGCGGCCACGACAGAGGAGGCCCCGCCACCGCGATGCTGCGGAGACTCGGGCGCGCTGTGCCCAAGCAAGCGGCGGGATTTGTTTTTTAGCAGCGAGGATGAACGTTGCGAGCCGCGGTGGGAGCAGGGGCATGAAACACACATGGGGGGGGGGGGGTCAGGGAGGGTTGGTGAGTCGTCGGTCACGTGAGATGTGGATTAAAAGGCAATGGACGCAAGGGATGGCTGCGGAGAGTCAGCTGCTGCAGGAGGGGTAAGTGGGTTATGCTGAAAGCCTTAAAAATTATAAAATAGGAACACGACACGATGGGCAAGGGGATGCAGCGATTTAACCAACTCGTGAAAACCTGAAAATGTATTTGCGCACTTTAACAGCCATAGGCGAGTCAATACTGCACATGTTGGCTGAAGTACTCCTAATTTTGGTAAAAAGTGGCACAATCGTGCCTTTGGCAAATGCTCAGTTTCACCTGCCCTGCAGTGTACAATGCCAATTTTACAGCTTACTTCCAAAGCAGTGAAGAGTGTCTCTGCAAACCCCTTCCCATCAGTGGAGAACAGCCTATGGCAATGCAGTAGGCAATTTCAGCACAACTTATATTACTTACAACTCGTCCGCGCAACTCTGCGGGGAAACACACCTGCAAAACGTCCTCTTGCATCGTTACCGCAGCCGCGAGTGCACATACGCACACACGTCAAGATGCACATCCGTGCATTTGCAAGCGCATTTAAACATGTACAAAAGAGCACGTGTACATATTTAAATTGTTCGAATGCACCGCTGGCGCATGACTACACAGGCGAGAGGGAGGCGCGACGCGGCAGAAGCAACGCCCCCCCCCCCCCGCGGAAACTCACCTGTTCTCCTTCCCGTTCTGTATCGAGGACGCGGTCTGGTCCAAAGGTTCATACGGGTTGCGTTGCGAGCGCCACCCTGAAGCCGCGTTGTTCTGCAACGGTGCGCACGAGGCAATACGGCGTCAGGAGCCGCGTGCTATCTCGCCAAGGCACCCGCCGCGGTGGTCGGTTGCGACACGCGACATGCGCGCGCATGCGTGCACGTGTGTGCGTGTCAGCAGTTCCGACGACACCGCTAGGTGACGTGACGAACCACAGTCGGAAAAGCGCGCACGAGAGACAGAGAGAGTCCTGCTGCATGCATCGCTCTCCAGAGCCCAGGGCTTAATGTGAATTACAGCTGACAATTGGCTCAATGACCTCTGGCGGATGCTCTGGTGCACGGTGTAAGCAGTCACCGTAGTGAAACCCGACCCGGATGACGGTGCTTTATAAGCGTGCCCCCCCCGTATCTCGCCGTCTCGGACCCGACCGCCCTGAATGTGTCCAATCATTTGGGATCTCGGAAGTTAATCTGGGAGGTTGCGGTGCCTGGTCAGCGTTTGGGTTAACCAGATGTCGTAGGCTTGGGCTGCGAGGTGGCAGCACACAACAGCGGAAAAACAATAGATTCTTGAATACATCTGTGCGGAGCTCTGAGTTATTATCCCTTAATTTATTTTCTCTCAAACGTACTCCAGGGTCTGTCCGCATGCCATACAATGCCAGTGGAGCCGGACCTTCTTGATAATAATTATTCGTCTCGCGGCGTGGCGACACTTTCCTGGGTAAACCAACGGCAAATCTCTCCAATGCACTTTGGGGATGTTGCGACACGAGGTCTGACGTTTTTCTGCACCCGCTGGGAGCTTCTTCAAATACTGAAAGCGAAACGTCGGACATCTTGTCTATCCATCAAATATCTATAGCGTCTTCAGAGCATTCAAAACCGCCTCGCCCGCACAGTGCTCGGCACTACAAACACCCCTTTCTCAGAGCTTCTCAATCAACTCCACTCGCTTCCATTGCAACAAGGCGTGCTACACAAAGCCGCTGTCTTCTGTTACCAAGCGCACACACATGCTAGGTCAAACGGCATATTTAGCATCTGCCGTCTCAGTCTACGTCCCATCTCGCAACCTCCGATCTGCCCGAAGAGGCGTCCCTCATCATCCTTCTCCTTCTCAAACCCTGTGTCGTGTCTCGAACCAGACGATGCGAACGTCACTTCGCTATCGTCTAAACTTCACTCTCCCACTCCTCTCTCAAAGCGCCACACATCGGCGGTGTCGTCCTTCTGTCAGAAAACTTCATCGACTTTTTCTCCTTCTTTCATTCGTTCTCCGACGCCACCGAAACGTCCTTTCAAGTTCAATTCCGCGCGCACTATACGTTTTCATCATTGCGCTATACGTTGTTTAACGATGAGCAAACGACGCCGAACGATGGGCGGCACAACCCGGTAGCCCATCTTGAGGGCTACGCAGCACGGCGACCGCGGAAAACCCGACGGCGCGTTGCCACCCTGGGAGCGCTTACAGACGATGACGGCGTGGAGCCCTTTTTCCGCGGAGGGTTCTCCAAACGGCCCGCGTTGGACGGGTCGAACACCGTCGCCGGGCTGGGCGGTGTCCGCTCCGCCTTCCCCGAGCCGCCGCCGCCTGCTTTGCGACTGTCGTCACCGTCGTTGCCGGCGGTGGACGGGCGCTTTCCATACGCCGGGACGGAGGACGGGCCGCCTGCTGTGGGACACGCAGAGGAGGAAGGCCGTCGTCACCGTCGCCACCGCTTAGGGTTGGAAACCAGCGAAGGAGTTTCCCCACCCCCCCTGCCCACCTTCCGAGATCTACTTGCGTAGGAGGATAGGCTCAGGGAGGGTTCATGTACAGGTGCAGCCCTGCAATAGCTCGCTCACGCCACCATTAGCGGAATGTTCTCCCCGCGGTCGCTTGCATTTTTATCCGGGTCTTCCGGTTTCTCCCTCAACATTACAAAACATGCATTTAGAGTATCCATGGCCTGCTCTTCCAGAATGGCCTGCCCTCCTGGAAGGGGTGACAATACCCACACTTTACCCCACCACACGCAAGCTTCCGTTTTACTAATTGTGATGTACCATTTATACACTTGCCACTTATGTTAGCGGTGAATGAAAATGTAACCCAAGTCACTGTGTTTGTAGCGCAGTGCGCCAACCACTGCACCGCCATTCCCACGGACAAAGACAAAAAGGACTGGATATCCCCTTATAGCCTTAACAGACTGTTGGGGCAAGTGTTGTGGTTTGGCATGGCTGGCACCACTCCTGGCCACCTTTGTTTCCCTAGTGGTGATGTTTACACATCACACCAGGTACTCACTTAACACTAAATCGACCTAGGGGGGGGTCCAGGAACAGTTCAAATAACTGTCGATGATGACGGCCATGAGCGAGAATCAATCGCAGTGCGCTAACCACTGTGCCACCATTTCTACACGCTCGCGCACGCACACACACACACAGACAACTCCAGTGCCTTGTGATCGTAAACGATCCCATGACACGCCTTGTAAGAGCACCCTACTGTGAGCTGGCGCCTTGGTCAAACTACCACGCTCCTCCTCAAACCACCGTCGTCATAAACCAGACAAGGCGTCCCTTGAGAAGGGGCGGGGGCGGGGGTAGTAATTCAACAGAGCCTCCTTGAACAAAGTCCATTATTAAGAGGAAACCCACTCAGCGCAAAGGACATGAAATTTTCGCGACGATTCCCGCTCCTCTATCTAAAATCAAGAGTTTCATTGAGCCTCTCCCTTTCACGAGGAAGACGATGCGTGTTGTAAAAGGAAAATAGTGCAGCAACAGCACAAAATGCTTTGAAAGAGAGAATAAGGGCGACATTACAAAACGAATAAGGATAACGTTGTAAGATAAAGATGTGATGTACAATCCGTGATTGGCTGTGGGAGGGAGTTACATAGTTTCGATCAATGAAACAACAATCACCATCAGCTAGTGTCTATCCACTGCTGGATGTAGTCCTCCCCATGCCATCATCATAACGAGCTTTGATAAAATCCACTATATGATGAAGGCCTCCGCAAACTGTCACCGTGCCTTAAAATCCTGTGATGCCACAATCCACCTCATGCCTACCCATTAAATGAACTTCACCACGCCACCGAAATACAGTGTAACAATTTTTTTTGTTTCTGGGTAGTAAGTGTTATTTCCTAATTGATTATGCATCAAAAGTACAGAAAATGTCTATTATTCCCCACAAACTTTGCTTTTGTGACCAGGACAGTAATATTTTGAAATTCACCTATTTTTCAATGAGAAAACGGGCGAATTTGTGTCTTTTCGTTCACATCAAGTCAGAAAAAACAACATATGAATACAAATTTACATGTATTTATACTAAAGTAATACAAAAATTACTACAAAAGATTTAGACACTAACGCACACTACCACAGGCGGGACTGGCCACAGCGGACAGAGTTCTCTGTGGGGAGGAACACCACTGCACATCAAATTGGGCCTTATGAAACAATTTGTCAGAGCTGTAGATAAGGAGTCGGCAGCCTTCAAGTACCTTCAAGACTTCTTCCCTAAGCTGTCTGAGGCAAAGGTCAAAGCCGGTGTCTTCCTCGGACCACAGATGAAGAAGATCCTGGAGTGCAATGAATTCCCCAAGAAGCTCACTAGTTAGGAGAAAGTGGCTTGGGACAGCTTTGTCGCAGTGGTTCCGTGGCTTCCTGGGCGATCACAAGGTCGAAAACTATGTAGAGCTGGTTGATACTCTGGTGAAGAACTATGGCACAATGGGCTGTAGGATGTCCCTCAAAGTCCATATCCTTGATGCTCATCTTGATAAATTCAAGGAGAACATGGGAGCGTACTTGGAGGAGCAAGGCGAGCGCTTCCACCAGGATGTACTGGACTTTGAACGCCGTTACCAAGGACCGTATAACGAGAACATGGGAGACAACATTTGGGGGCCGATTCGTGAAAGCGATTTACAGTATAATGGTAAATCTTGAAAAACACCTCATTTCTAAATCTTTTGTAGTAATTTTTGTATTACTTTAGTATAAATACATGTTAATTTTGATTCAAATGTTGTATTTTTCTGACTTGATGTGAACGAAAAGACACAAATTCGCCCGTTTTCTCATGGAAAATAGGTAAATTTCAAATGATCACTGTCCTGGTCACAAAAGCAAAGTTTGTGGGGAATAGGAATTTTCTATACTTTCTAGGCGTAAGCAATTACGAAATAACACTTAGTACACAGGAACAAAAATTGTGTTACATAGTGTTATTAGTGGTCATCCTCTAGGGTGAGTTTAAAAACAATTACTACATATTACTTGCAATATTATCACCGGAAACAGTTCTCGGTTGAATCTTTTAATCCAGAGACTTTTACTATGTCATGTCCACATTAACAATGAAAACCCCATTTTTCAAATGATACCCAAGACACAAGGTAAACAAAGTATATTACAGGTAGGAACAACAGGGTCCACACTGCCCACCAGGGATTATTTATCTGTCGTGCATAGAGGAATCGAAATCGAAACCGAACCGATTGCTTTTCGATTCGTCATCTCGACGATTACTTCCGTTTCCGGCGTACCCACCCACACCCACCGCTGTCCAACCAAGTTCCTACCTGCCCACTCCGCAGGAACGTGTTTAGTTGACCGTTGTTCACGCTGAAGGTGCAGAGGGAGCGCAGTAGCTAGCACACTCCACAACTGACTCAGCAAGAGACGAAGAAAAATTCCCAGCCACAGCGAACATGATCGCCGATTGATATCTGAACCGATGTTGGACCTGACCTTCCACCTCCACCAACCCACACTGACCGTAGGGGGAGGCCTTCATCCGGCAGTAAAAGGTAAAAGTGCAGCCCTGCAATTTGCTGGCTCGCAGCATTACCTACGGAAGGGCTATCGTTCAAGAGAGCTCCATATCATACTTGGCCTACTCTTCAACTCTCACTTGGAAGAGGTGGCAACTCCCACACACTTTACCCCGCTGCACGCGACCTGCCGATCGACTGACTGTGGTGCAAGCATTTACACAGCTGGGTGGACAGATGGGGGTAGGGAGTGGGGAGATTTAAGAAACCTGAAGCAGTTGTTTAACACCATTGTTTAAACTGCCGGCTGGGAGACGGGCGACCTCTGGATTGCAAGTCCAGCGTACCGCTAACCGCTACACTGTGCCAGGGTCCCAGCAGTGGCCATGCTAAAGTCTACTACGTGCTCAAGCGAAGTGAACCTGTCCTTTGGACGAGTGGCCACAGCTAGTAGCCGAGATAAGAGTAGGAACAACAACAGTCAGGGGAGGAGTAACAACTTCCTGTAAAGATTCTGTTGACAAGAAACCCCGGAGACCAGGTCACTGCAAGGCACTGGAAGGCACAAAAACCCCCTACCAAAATTTGCGATAGTCTGCAACATTATGATTTATTTGCTGTAACTTTGTTATTTTTTTTTCACCAAGCTCCCTGCACGGGACATATTACATTATTGTAACATAGCCGGTGGCAGAATGTTTTCTAACCCACGTCAACAAATAAAATCAACAAAAAATAGATAAATAATACAATCACCACTCCACTTTCTTTGTGACAAGACTGCAGATTATTATTCATTCTTCAGACCGCTTTGCAAGTGGCCTTTTGAGATAGGTGCGGTGGGATGTGCCTGCGTTCCAGCGCTCTTGAGCCAAAGGTTGGTGGATCACAGAATGATTCACCTGGACCATCCCTCCCCAGCACAATTTGATAAACTGTCAAAATCAACATGGTCAAGAAGAATGACAAGAGATTACAATACCGAGCATCTGACGTATGCCCTTGACCTTTAAAGCCAGATCAATCTTTTATAGTAGGTTGTTTTTGCTTTTTGACCCAGGTTACCCTCGAAAATAAGATGCATTACCTGGTTAATCAAAATAAACTTGAAGCTTCCATAGCTGCATACCCTACTCTGCAACTGAATTCCTCAGCATCTGTTTCATGCACCTGTACCCAAAGGCCAGAAGCTTATTTTCTATTTGCTTGTTAAAATCCAGTTCTCTGACCTACAAAGATATAAAAATAACTCCTGCCTCAACAGTCACAAAACTAAAACGGAACATCTCCCAAACTGGGAGCAGTGGCACAGTGCTCAGTGTCATCGTGCGATGAACCGGGATACCGGTGTTTGATTCCTGGCCACGGCTAACATCAATGGTGAATTATATTGGGACAGGTGCCGAGGTCCCCCTTCAATAACCCACACTGACCAACATGGTGGCCAAATAACCCCCATGATCCGCATGGCATCAGGAGGCCCTCATCCAGCAGCGGACTGACAGAAAGCGCTGGAAATGTGTAACACTAATCAGATGATTTCTTCTGCCGATTGCGCTGTAGGCCGGGCACATGCCAACAATGAGCATGTCATTGAAAGTGGTTGCACATGTACACCATCACCACCAGCCATCGTCAATCCACTGCTGGTTGAAAGCCTCCCCAAACAGTCCACCACCTCTCACAAGGATGTACACAAGCGTGACATTACCCCGCTTTCTGTGATGGTGCCCGGGAATGGGTACATGCTGGCCACACTCCGTCACTGGATACGGCCGAACGACGTCATACACACGTGCCAAACATTATTCCCGTTCGTTTCTTCTTACGCCGCCGGCGCCACTAGCAGCGCGGCGGACGTTGGCGGTCAACGCCGCCCCCGGCCCCCACCCCCTCTCACCATGGCGGTGCTGCTTCTGCGCGGCTGACGAGCTGCGCTGCACCTTGCCGTGCGCCACCGCCGAGCCCGAGCTGCCGTTGTGCACGTCGCTGCTGGCGCGCGGCTTCATGGAGAGCGACTGCGTGCTGCCCGACTCGCTGCCGTCGCCCTGCGCGGGAGAACCGGCGTTATCACCGCCGCCGTTAACCGATTAACCGGATGGCCGCGTGTTTATTATTTTGTTAAAAACAAAGAGCCGCAGGCCATGCACTTTATTGACGTTGACCGGAAAGGAAAGCTATCGAGTTCATTAACAATAACTAGTATCAAGAGCTATGCATTTCATTTACGTTAACTACAACTGAAAACTATGGGGTTCATTAACATAACCAGAAGTAGTGTCCTTGAAATACCAGGGCAATTCAGGTTAGGGGTGTTGCCGGGAACATATATATTAGTTTTAACAAAGTGGAGTTATTTCCATTTAGAGCACATTAAAACCCATTTTGCACCTTGTAATGATATTTTTTTAATTAAGAAGGTTAATAAACATCACAGAACCACAAAAAAATCACGAGCCAATTTTGAAACATGCAATGCAGTACTGCAGTCCTTAGAATGCAGCACCCAACTGGGACTGCGACTGCGTGACGTTCTAGATGTATGTTATATGAACGTTTAACTTCTTTCGTACCGTACATAGCCAACCGTGCTGATCAAAGGTTTATGCGTGAGTCCTCATTGCATTGCACACCGTCAAATTTTAGTTGCAATTGTTTTAACATTTTGAGTGGGCATGGTATAGACGCCAACGTTACATTAAGGACACAATGTAGTATGGAAAGGGAAGCATTCCGTTACAACGGGAACTAGGAGGGCAACGTGATTTTGTCAGAAGTAGAACAGGACTGGAAATAAAAGAACGACCTATTTAAAGAACAATAAGATACTAATATAACATTATTGCACGGTTGAGGCCACATCACGGAGTTACAGTTTAACTGTACGTCACAGCTACGACGTGTTAATGAATTCTTCAAACGTACAAATATTTAAATCTCATCTTGCAATCAATGTCCATAGGCCTACTCACTTTTATGATGAGACAATCTGATTTCTTAACTATAGGTGGAACTAAAACTTATATCATATAATAATTATCATGTATATTCCCCACCGTTATTGATCGTGAGCGGAAATCGAACTCGGGTCGCCAGGTTCATAGCGGATTGCACCAACCATTACACTACTGTTCCCCCACAAGGTTCAACATACACGGCCAAGACAAACTTTGCACCTACCAAAGTACTGGGCGTGTGTGCGCGCGCGTGCACGCGTGGACGCGGGTCAGACTACGCAAACAACCTCTACACCACCACGGCGTGGTTTTGAGATACCGCTGCAGTTCGACGCTACACAAATCTAAAAACTTGCATCGTGTTTTCCATGGAGATGGCAAGGGTGGCTTGGGGGTGGCTTCATAATGGACGCACGCGTTTAGCCTCGCTTTACGTGGTAGATGCGTTCAAACAACAGGGCGCGGACAAAGCGAAACCGCACGACACAGCTGCCTGCCGTGTAGCGTGTACAGTACAGGACACACACACAGTGCCGTCCCAGGCACCGACCGCATAACCCCGTGTAAGTGAATTTAAACCACACAGCAGAGGGAAGTTTGGGTAGAAAAAGATTGGCCGTATATACGGGGAAATGGCACAAACCAAACCCGCGTAAAGCGAGGGAAACCTCTATCAGAGCACTGAGCCGGTACTGCTAGGATCGCGAATTAAAATCTGGGCATCAGCCGCCCGAGACAAACAGCGTTCTCATGAGTAGTCAAAAGTCAAAGTGATTTCCTGCTCATATGAGAATTTAAGCGGTGCTCATATTCTGTTCACAAACCTCAGCCGGTTGGGTAAATTCCACATTCCTATGGCGTGCGCTAGGCAATCCACAGGAATCCCACGGTTGACCTTCCCACAAAGGAGCATTAATTTAATCAACTCAGAGGGATGATGAGCCAAGTAAAAAACCCAACCAAGATTTGAACTCGCAGACGCTCACTCTAAAGCGTAGCCAGCAGGCCAAATGAATGCAGCGAGTTGCGTGCATTATCTCCAGTTCTTATAAATGTTTTGGTGGGATTGCCATGCGACAGAAACTCTTTGCAGGGCCAATAAAAGTGTTTCACCGAGTGTAGATAAGCAGGCCTGTTCGAGCACTCTCTTTTGAGTTCGTTTACTGGCAGAAGGGAGTTGAACAATCCTCGCTACAAGGTTTAAAAATGTAAACATCTTCATCTCATATGATGCCAACAGCACAATTGCAATATAAATGGGAGCATGAAAACAATAACGAAATCAACATCTACATCACCAAGAAGTGACGAGCAGGCCGCAGTGAAAATGCCAACAGGTGTGTGTGTGCGCATTTTCAAGCGAGCGCGGGAGAGCATTTGCATACGAGTGTGTGCGTGCGAGTATGTTTGGGAGTGTGTGGACCAGGCATGGTTGCTGGCCACCCACCCCCTCGTATGCCGTGCCGGCCTTCTACGGTCTATCAGGACTATACGGGGGACCTTTGTCTATGGGAGCATGTGTGGGAGTCCATGTGCGTGTGTGCGCGAGTGTGCGTGTGCCTGAGTGTGCGGGCATGGGTCGAGTGCGAGTGTGAGCATGCGAGCGAGCAAGGGTAGACCAAGGCCGGTTGGGTCAATCCTCACCATTTCTTGCTTGCGTCCCAGGAGCAGATACGTGGCCGTGATGTCATCGTACTTCATCTCTGAGAGCGACTTGGTGATCTTTTCCCGCGCGAAGCCCATTCCCACCATGAAATCTGCGGAGACCAAGAGTGGTTCTCTCAACGACGCCGTCAAACGCCAATGCCCCGGCAGGGGTTATTAGGGGGCGTTCGGGCCGCGCCGAGGTTACACGGTGGGCAGTGTAAAGTGTTGCCAAATTCAGATATTTTGTCACTAATTTTTGCCAACCTTTGGATTTCCTGAGCGATAACAATTTGCCAAGAGATTCGCGACAAAATTATCTTACGAGTTTTCTGGCACAAGGACAGCTTTAGGAGCAATTCCAAGCATGTATTAAGTAACCTGTTTCAGTTCACCACGTTTTAACACTTGGCAAATTGTCTAGCAGTGACAAATTGTGATGACTATATTATCCATCAAGTGCCATCTAGCGATTTTTTTTTAGGTTAATTTGGCGACTTTCCACTCTGAAGCGGTGTTGGCGACGGTGACCTTGGCGGTGGCGCCGCCGATGGGGGGGGGGGGGGGGGGAGAGACTTGCCTATCCGCTTCGTGTCACCGATGTCGAGCGAGGGCTCCAGGTACGGCTTCAGCTCGTCATCCTCGTGGCCCACGTTCATCCAGCGGTCCTTCATGATTTGCTGAAGAAAAAAAAGGCCAAAAGCACAATGACGGGGCAACGAACCCAATCTTCTCCCCATTTATGGACCCAGGAGTATTGAGGCCGGGCCTCAGTCCGTGGAGTTATCATACCCCCCACAGCCCCCCCCCCAACCACTCCTCCCCATGTAGTCTATGCCTTATACACTGGGTTCTTGTTTTATTACAAAAAACTATTTAAAAAAACAATGACAACAGTACAGACAACTTATAGACCATGTCACTCTATGACTCCTGTCAAAGTGAAGTGCCTTAGATAACGTCCGTACAGGTCTTGCTTCTAGCTGTTTTCCACGGGTGATAATAAAGTGTAAGGGCGCAAAGTTAACCTATGGGGGCCAGGCTATGCTGCCATTACTAGCATGTAACATGTATGTATAACTTCTTTCGCACTGTGCGTAGCCAACCGTGCTAAACGGAGGTGCGGGGGAAGGACAACAAACTAAACAGAGCAGTTCTAAAGAAATTAATTTTCAATTTTTATTTCAAAGTGCATAGCTCCAGTGGCTTCCTAATTTCGGAAGAGCATTCCAGACAGCCGCAGAAGCGCATCTGAAAGCACACGATGCGGTGAGGGGCAGGTGCTTCTTTGACGCCACATAAGGTTTACAAAAAAATGCCCTCTGCCACAGTCCCTTTTGGCGACACAGAATACTGTAGGAGTGGAGTGGTGGCGTAGTGGTTAGTGCACTGCGCTATGCACCTGAAAACATGAACTCTATTGGTCGGCCATGACTAACATCACCGACGAGTGAAATCAGAAACAGTTCTGGACTCCCACAGAATCGGTGGTGAAGTCTGGTCAACCAACCCCCATTGCCATTACGGCAAGGGGTGGGGCCCTCATCTGGCAGTGGACTGGCAAAATGGTTATAAATTCCAATATGTTAAATTATTAACGCGTGATTATTTGATTGAAAATAAACAATTGCGCACCATGTAACGGCGCTGCGCTTTAAAACACAAACATAAATGAAAACACATTTGCTGTTGTCGTGACTACCCCTTACCACTGGCGGATAAATTTAGCGCAAGTGTCATCCCCTTTTCCTCAAAGGTTTGCACTTCAAATGAGAGCCGTATTGGGATGCGGGGGGGAGGGGGGCTTCGTCTCAGGCTGAGAAAACAATAAACGCCACCTAATCCTCGCGAGCTACTTCACAAAGCAACGACAGTGCAACCAGCACTGATGACATAACGATTCATTCATACAAATTCACAAAACGCAAGTCATGATACCAACACCACGCCTTGAGTCACATGTGTAAGAATCAACCGTTTCCCCATTCATAAACACATTTTGTACGAAACTGGCCCGTGGAATTCCCACTGGCAAACATAAAAGAGAATGTGAGGTGGTGGGATGGCTCAGAGGTCAGGGCACTAAGCAGGCACTGCTGAGATGACCAGTTTTTTGCCACCGGTAATTAAACCAAGTTTCTTCACTGCAGTGAAGTTGCTGGTCTCAACCCAGTCACCAACAACTGCACAAAAAAACATCAAGTAAAATTTCATCCTGCATATAATTGAGCTAAATTCCGGCTTCGAAAATTAAAAATATCGGTTTCAATGCCATGTGCTAAACAGTACATTAAGAACGGATTCTGGATAAAACTAGGGTGGGGGGAAAGCTTTTTAAGTCTGAATTTTTTTTGTTAAAACATTCTTCAATTGAAACGTGACTCCAAATTGTGACCCAGCATCCACAAAGTGAGCGGGGGGTGGGGCAGTGGGGGAATTCTATCACACGCATAGCAACCAACATCGATAGCGGATCGCTCAAGTCAAACTCTCTCAACGTTTCCTGCGAGCAAACATAAGAAGCCTGCGCACATGTCACCGTGCGACACCACGGCGATAGTAAGCAGTCATTCCGTTGAGAACACAGGGAGGTGTGTGGGGGGGGGGCGGGGGGAAAGGGGGCGTGTGGTCGTAGATCATTTCGCGAAGTTCGTCGCCGACTCTGAGCCCGCGTAAGAGTCGTGTGAACCGCGTGGAGGCTGTCAGTGCTCGGACCTCCAGGCTGCCCCGTTTGAGAGGATGCAGCACCAGGAAGCGCTTGAGCAGGTTCTCGCAGTCGGTGGACATGTAGAAGGGGATGCGGTACTTCCCGCGCAGCACGCGTTCGCGCAGCTCCTGTCGGCACAGCCGGACGGCGGTGGCGTCAGCAGATTCACCGAGGTCACCCCACCCGACCACGCGCGCGCAGGGGTCAAAGAGTAATGCACGCATGGAACTCCATTTTCTGGACGAATACGGGCCATGTATTTTTGTTTACTCTGCCTCCACAAACTCGGCACATAGCGATACGCCATCGTACGCAGATTATTTATAGGTACCCGTCGGCCGCTTGAAATGTTACATTGCCAAAGAATCAAATCTCGAAATGGATCGATACCCAAATTGTGACAATGCGAGAATCTAACGAAAAAGCACCTGGGGCACGTGACAAACAACGCGTGGCGTGAACCGAACACACATCGGAGAGAGAACTCTGCAGCACAACTGTGAATTACTAATCAAAACTTTTATTTTACTAGGTAAGGCCCCACTGAACTATATAGCTCTTTTTTCAGAAGCAACCTGGCCCCAAATGATAGCTCAACGAAGTGGCTTATCATCAAGTGAAATTATATGTCAGAGAAATATTCAAAACGCACGTTGATTCTAAATATGGAGGGAAAAACAGGATGACCCGGAAAAAGACGTGCAAACTCCAGATAAACACGCGTCAGCGTCAGAATCTCGCCACCGCGGAATACCTACGCAGCCGTCAAAAGTACTTTTTGTAAAGCGTAAAAAAAAGAGTATGCCGACTTGTCAGTGCCCCACGTGTGTCACCGCGCATGCGAGTCTAAACACACCTTGAGGTTCTGGCCATCGAAGGGCAGCGACCCGCTGACGAGCGTGTAGAGGATCACTCCGAGGCTCCACACGTCCACCTCAGGCCCGTCGTACTTCTTGCCCTGGAAGAGCTCGGGCGCGGCGTACGGGGGGCTCCCGCAGAACGTGTCCAGCTTGCTGCCCAGCGTGAACTCGTTGCTGAAGCCGAAGTCGGCAATCTTGATGTTCATGTCGGCGTCCAGAAGAAGGTTCTCCGCCTACGGGGGGCGGGGGGAGCGAGATGGAGAAACCGCTCAAGAGATTGACCGATTATACCCACCACAGGGATTCCATGATTCGTCGTGACCTCGGACAAAAGCGATGGCCACGGTGCAAGCAACGTTTATGGCAAAAGAGGTGGAGGACGTCCCGTGGTGGAAGAGGAGGACTGAAGGCATTGTTCTGGAGACGCTGACAGGAAGACCGCTGACATGGATGCAATATCAACGGCTTGAGTATGACAGAAATAGATGGAGGACTCTGCTATCTATGAGACCTTTAAACCAGTATCAAAATGATTAAACAATAAGAATAGGTTTTAACCTTTCTGGCAATAAAACGGATGTCAAGATGTTGAAACACCAAATATATACCTTTTGCAAGGCATCAAGTCTACATTAACCACACGTACTTGTGGAAAAACAAACTTTTGTGTGGGCTATGGACCCAGTGGCTTCTGTAAAGGCTGGAAGGGAAAAAAAAGAATGGGCTGCGATTCGATTTAAGTATCGATTATTTAGTTGTGTACGTAATATAGCCAAAGTACAGTTCTGATAATTTAAAACTTGGTTTGAATGTCATGCGAGGAACAATCTTTCACGCAACATGGTGCATTGCTAGCTGCTACTATCTCAAGACATGATGCTGGAAGCACAATTGGAATATAATTGGGAAAAAAATGTGGAGAATTTTCCCTTCGAGGGGACTTGAAGAGGAATTTTTTTTTATTTTGGGGGGAGGTAGTAAGGCAAAAGATAAAGCGAGGTGGCAGGGTGGTACACTGATAACATTTGTGTCTCACCAAAAGAAGGGTCTGGGTTCTATTCCAGACCAGGACACTTTTCTGCGTAGAGTTTGTACTTTCTCCTCATATTCTGTATGGGTTTCCTTGGGGTTCTCCGCACTGCTGTGGCGAGATGTTAACTACCTCACCTGGTATGGAGGTCATGGGTTTCATTCAAACCCTGACGCCTCTTTATTTGGATTTTGCATGTTCTTGCCGTGGTCGCGTGAATTTTTCTCCGAGTCCTCCGGTTTTTCTCCTTCACATTTAAAATCAACATCCGTTTTAGAGTATTTGGTTGCTATAGATTTCGTTGAGCTATCATTTGCGGTCAGGTCTCTTCTGAAAGAGAGCTATATAGCTTAGTCGGCCTTACCTGGTGTAAAAATAAACCAGTTCCTCCCATAGCTAAGAAAACCCCATGTAATGTGACCGATATTGGCCAAAAACATCCAAATGCTGCAAAATGTCTCTTGATATTACTCAATTGGGATTCCAAGTAGCAACATCGGCCCCTACCTCTGAAAACTTGGCTGGACCCTCCTGAAAACCCGCATTGAGACTCAGGATTTTTTGAATAAAGAAGTCTCATACAAAATAATACTAATAAAACAATGGATCTGAATAGAAAGCAGGTAATAAACAGGCGGCGAGTCATAGCCAGAGGATACGAAGGCCTTGGAGCTTGGCCTTGACCACGGAGAGGGTTTGTGCGGTGTAGATAGCCAAGGGTGGCCGGTCAAATCTACACAAACAGGGGCGGCGGCGCAAGGAGGAATGACCTCCCACCAAGCGAAGATTGCCTGGGAGATTTGACAGGAGGCTCTAATTGCTGGAGCAAAGGGGCACACCAGGGGGGTAAGCAAAAAGATATGGTCCAGCAGAGAAGGTGAGCGCGGGAGATTAAAAGCAGCGGGCTTGGACTGGCCCCGTCCGTACCTTCAGGTCTCGATGTACGATGTGCTTCTGATGACAGTACTGCACGGCTGAGACGATCTGCACACGAGATAAAATCCCCGACGCGTGAGTCACACACACGGTGACGTGGCTGTGCAACTGGGCCAGGCCCCCGGGCGCCAGGCTACAGGTTTCCCACACCCCCCCCAACCTGCATAATTTCTTGCATCAAGGCCCATGCCAGCCACGCTAAGCAACCGGTTACAATCAAGCCACATCAACACCTTTTGGTCAGAGTGACCATATCATGCTATTTTGTTTGCTGCGGTTGCACCCGATTCAAGAGCCGAATGGCTCACAGGGCTATTCCAAATAAATGAAAAATGAAAACTGAAAATGTGGCCAGCGTCCAGAGAATTAAAAAACGATCATTAGACAGCAACTGGAAATGCAACAAATTTTCACAACCGATGCTATTGTTGCGAACGAACTTAAAGCTGTGCATTTTATGAATGGGAACTCGAATGAGAAGCGTGATCTTTTTTTGGCAGAGCCTGCATAGAACCGTGATCGAACGTTCAATCTCAGCAAGTCACAAGAATGGAACAGGAACGTGTGACATAACACCGAGTTGAGTTTAATTGGTCTGCGTCATAAATGAGGTCCCTATAACATTCATTCATTGTACACACTGTACAAATGGAAACCAAACTTGCCGCTTTAGGCCTACCAGAATTATAATCAATTCTGGTAGGCCTAATCACTTATTATGAAATCCTCGAACAGTTTAACAATGGCTGGAACTAAGAATTATATTGGTCGAAGAGAATTGGAAGCGACAATTCTACAACCAGAATGAGAACTGAACAAAACGATGCTTCCATCACGGACAGAAATAACACTAAATTGATGCACACGGAACAGAGTAAAAACAGCAACTAATTAATTATCATGGAACTAAAAATAACACTGTGCCGAGTACATTATAACCGCAGCTTCCACCACCGTTGTGTGATCATGGCCTCACTACCTTAACGTGGTCACTCGCCAATATCTTAATGTGGAACTATAATAATGGTACACCTGGTATAACCAGCATTCAGTGCATTCACAGAACACTATTCCCATTAAGCAATTTATCTACATTTGAACAAAAAAAATTAGTTGGTGATACTGCAACAGCAGTGGTGCCCAAGCATAATCAAAACAAAGCTTGTTGAGTTGGAATCATGAAAAGGGATTGTTAAAAGTATAGAAGGGTGATGATTCTGGCAGTGAACCATTGCCCTGAACGTTGAATAAATTAAAACTGCATAGGCAATGAGGCCAAAACGTTGCAAAGGGGGGCTTCTCTTACCTGCCGAAACTTGGCCCGTGCCTCCTTTTCTTTCATCCGACCGTGTGCTACAAGGTAGTCAAACACCTCCCCTGTGCACGCAACAGACGGAAGTGGAGGAGGACGGGGTGGGGGGGCATTAGGATGGCAACTACAGCAGCATCAGCAATCACAGCTGAACAGCAGGTGTCCATTGACAATTAAAAGTGCTGCAAGAAGCATGGAGCAGTGCACACCTTGGAATTAGGCTTCGAGAGAGAAAGAGGAACACACGGATTAGAGAACATGTGCCAAGAGAGGTAAGTGGGCTTGGGCAGGACACTAATGATGGGAGTTGCAGCCAACTTAAGACGACAAGCCCAAAAAGGCGTGTCCACCGCAAAAATTAACTCGGTCCATGCGCGAGATGGATTGTTGTACATCGCCGGACCGTGAGAGATGGGCAGTCTGCTTGGGGAGAGGACTTCATCCAGCAGTGGATTTGATAATGGCTAACGATGATTGTAATGACGAGTGCTGCAAGGGGAGAATTTACTTTTGTTCAATGTCACAAAATATTGTGAAAGGTGAAAATAGTGTACTGAAATGTTATTTGGAGATGCATGTAAGGTTAAGAGGTCAACCATTGTCACTGCTGTTGATGGCACCAAACCTCATCATTGCTTCCTTCCTTCTGACAGGGCTGTCAACTATTGCACATTAAACTTCTGCCTTCCAAAGAATGCTCTTACAGTCCTCCCCACCGTCTGACTTCGCATCTTCCCCTCGATTGCCGACCTTAGAGTGTCACTCCAATGCCCGTCTGAGTAACCTACCTTCCTTCATCCATCCATCACAACTGCCTCTTATCGATCAAATTAACAAGTGGGTACTTTCTATTCTATTTGGTTCTTCCTTGGAGGTAACTTGCACAAGCCGATTTGCACTGCAGGTAATTATGTTTGCAATATTTTCAATTCCTTCAGTGAAAGTTGTTTGGTTTTTTATTCCGATTTTGATTAGTTTTTTTACATCATACCGACAATCCAAGTCACCCTTGCAAATGAGATGCATCCTTGTGTCCTGATTTCTCAGCTGGTTAAACAAAAGAAACTTGAAAATTCCAAGCTGCTTAACCTACTCTGCAATCGAATTCCTACCAGCTGTTTCTGCACCTGTCCTCAAAAGGCGATAAGCGTATTTCCTCGTTGCTTCGTTAAAACTCCAGTTGTGAGAACCACGCCGAAACAGACTGCTGCCTCCACAATGACAAGAAGAAAACAAACATGGCCTCGTGTATACTGCTGAGGGTGGAGCGGTGAGGACAGTTGTGACAGTGCTGCACTGTGAACCCAGCGACCAGAGTTCAATTCCCGGCCACAGCTAACATCAGTGACGAGTGGTATCTGAAGTGGTCCTAAGGTCCGCCCCCCCCCCCCCCCTTATCAACTAACAGATGGGCACATATATAACTGACGTGACAAGGGGAGATAGGCAAGTTGATTGTCAAAGAACTGCCAATACTTGTGTTACTATTATATACACAAACAGCTCGCAATGCAGTTTTAGGGGTTCCCCGTTGTGGTTTCTCTTACAAAATAAAATAAAAATTGTCGAAGAAAACTGTTGTGGTTACGGTTCAAAATGGAGGAGAAATAATTACACTGCCACGGCACTTTCAGAAAGTGGTTATAAACGAGACAAGATGAGAGATCAAATAAAACTTACTGTCGTAAAGTCTCGCAGCAAACGGATGAAAGCAGCAGCGGATCGGTGTGTACCGATGGTCAGCGTAAGTGTCCACCGTGAAAAATCTCACATTCGTTAATAACACTATGTGTGGCCTCAAAAGAGAAAAACAAAATAAGTAACGTTTTGGACAATTCCTCTTCTTCATATCATATAAAGTATGTGTTTTGAAGGCCCATTTATGAGCTAATTGTTTGGAGATGCCACCTATGAAATATGTATTTCCTTTTAGGCCACAGTGTAATTGAGGCATGTGTTGATTTGTTTTATTATTTGTGCTTGTGCGCCAAGGCAGCAGCAGCAGCACTAAATAATTTGTTCACAACTAACAGAAGTTGGCTTTTGTTCAGTCACAAGGGCTCTCTCTTTACGATGGTATTACAATAACAACTTGCAGGTCACAATTGCAATAACCTACATTCTATTGGGGAGGAACTTTACAAGATGGTTAAAAACGGATTGACGTCAAATGACTAACCACCCGCAAAACCGGCCGAAGCTCAAGATAAAACCCGAACACTTTGTTGTTGTTGGCAGTGCCGCATTGGCAAAGTGCCAGAAATTCTGAACTGCACTGCATTTGCTGCCTATTATTCAAACGGATGGGGGGAGGGCAGAAACCAAATTAACATACACTCACAACAGATCGTATTGCACGAGAAAGGAAATGAATAAAGCACAGATAAATAGGCATCAAGTACACGGACAGCCCTTTGTTTAAATCCACTGCTGGACGAGGGACTCCGCGTGCCGTGCGGGTCAAGGTGGTTGATTTTGACCGTGATTCAGCACGCTGGTCGGTGCCGGTCGGTGAAGGCGAGGAACAGGGACGTGGGAACAAAGATGTAGAGTACAACAATGGATTTTGCTGTACAGAGCTCTGCCGTCCACCATAGGTACTTAAGAGCCTACAACAACATCACATGCATGATGGTCGCGCATGCAAGCAGTATTCAGGGCTTGAACCTGCTTGGCTATGGGATCTGATGAAATCTGGCAAAACTCAGGGTAATTTGGTGACAAGCAGCTACTCTAACTATCACCTTGTAAATAAGACTGCTGAATTAATTAACAATAACTCGTTTCTCCAGGAAAGCCTCAGTGAATCCAAGGCGTTGCAGTGAATTGTTTGGACAATTCCATTCATGAGCGTTTGGCATGTGGGAGGAAATTCTAGTAGAAAAAAAATTCCAACACACATGAGAGAATAAAACTGAAAACTCTGCACAGATGCATTTAAGAATCCAAGTTTCAACAACCCGCAGCCCAAGTTGCATTGCGAAGCAGTCTCCCATCCAAGTACAGCAGAAGCTGGATTTAAGCACACCCCTTGGGAGCAAGACCATGTGTGCTTAAATAAGAAGTAGTTTGTGAAGATCAGAAGTTGCCTGTCCCCCCCCCCCCCAAAAAAAACATGGACAATGTAAGCAAGTGCTGCTTATATCAGAACTGTGCTTATACCAAGGTGTGTTTATGTTCAGCTTCTACTGCATTCTTAACCAGGCTCAAGCCTGCCTGGTTTTCGAGATCTGACGAGATCGGACGCATGCACGCAAGGAGATGTGGTCGTAGACAGAACAGAAAGCTAGCAAAGGAGGCGTGGGGGGGTTGGTATATTAAGGTTGTATTGCATTGGTGGCTCAGGTTCATATCAACTTTCGCATTGTAACAAATGTGTTACCGAGCACCGATATGCAGCACTGATATGCTGATTTCTTCATATAATGAACCAAATAATTAAAAACATCTGCTGGCTTTCCAAGTAATGGTTTTGGCATGCACGTATTAAGTAACTCAATTCCGAATGTTTCCTGCTGGGTGAAGATTTCGAATTTGTTCTTCTGATAAAAAACCCAACGCAATCATACATTTTTGTTCATTAAGGATAAGTACAATGGACTTGCAATCCGGAGGTCACCGATTCAATTCCATTGCGACGCTTGAAACAATGGGGCAAGTTTCTAAAATCCTCTGTCCACACCCAGCAGCATAAATTGGTACATCATACAGTCAATCGGCAAGCTGTGTGTGGTGGGGTAGTGTCTGACCAGAATAGAGTAGCCCAAATACATTCTAGAGCAGTGGTTCTCTACCGGGGGGGGGGTGGGGGGGGCTACGCAGACCCCTCGGCTAAGGTGGCAATGTCCCAGGGGGTACGTGAGCTAATTTACGTGTGAATTTGTCATGTATGAGTCATTAGTGAATTATAATGTATGAATATGCCAACGTAAAAAAACTACAACAAAATGTAAATCCATATCGTAACCTAAAGCGAGATAAAATACCTTTGTAAACTCGTTGATCTTAAACAATATGATTTTCAGCGAGTAAGTAGCGAGCACAAACAAATCATGATAGCGCACAAAATGGACAGATGGTTAAAGTTTCGGTGTTGTTGGGCCTGCTCCACCCCCCTCACTTTACCCCCTGCTTACTATCAACAGGGTTGGCTTGCATCGACGGTTTGAACATGTGACACAAAAGTGATGTCACGGGCCCGCGTATTGCCTCAATAAAAAAAGATTGGTATTCATTATTCATACATTTATTTCTCAGAACCATGTTGGGTAGGGCAAGGGTTGTATACACGGTTGAAACAAAACTCAACAAGCGGAGGTAACCCAGTAGCTAAAAAGAGGTTGAGAGCCACTGCTAGTCTAGAGGAGCTCCCGCTGGGGTGGGAGGCCCTTCCACCAACAGTTGCGTGAAGCAAGCCAGCAACGAATCGCAGGATTGCACATCTACCTTCTTTCTTACACGACAACTGCTTGACCAGGGGTCGGGGCAACCCACGGCTCTTGAAAGAGCTGCTTCGTGACATTACTTTTATGAAGGACCCACCATCTCGTATTCACCACGTCCATTGCGGCTCTTGAAAGAGGTTTTTTTTTTTTACCGGATAAAAAAAAACAGCTCTTTTTGTTATTTTGGTTGCTGACCCCTGTGCTTGGACAGAGCGCCGACAGCGAGAACACAACGCGTGGCAGACTGGGTGCGCATGCAGACGCGAGCACAAACACCGCCTTCTCCGCACTCGTACCTCCGCTGGAGTACTCCATGACCAAGTACAAAGTCTTCTCCATCTCAATTACTTCAAACAGTTTAACTGCGGGGAGATAATTCACAAGCACATGTGAGGGCCTTCACACCGCGTGTTGGCAGCTCACTCGCTCGGCGCATCGCAGACGCAATCAAAGAGTGTTTTTTTTCTAAGTCTGGAGCGTGGCCACGTTTTCACGTGGGCTAAATGGAACATTGCGCGATTTCAATAATCAATGCTTAACAGTTTTTTTTAATGCATACAATTTCTATTTTTTTATAGTCTTACGTAAATTATGAAAGCGGTTTTCATATAATATGTTGTTCCCACTGTGGGACTGAAGGAAATGTAAGCATGGCTTTCTTGGATGTTTTCAGCGGTTGTGCCACGTGTTGTTTGGCACGATGTCTGACGTTTCGTGAGACATGCTGCGAGCTTACGCGGGATACCGACAAGAAACGTCTGACATCGTGTATGACACAAAAACACATCGGAGAGCAATGTGGCACAACCGTGAAAACCTATGTAAAGAAAAAGGTAAGCAATGTTCAAGAGTGTTTTCAAACTTGAAATGTCACACTTTAGCGAGGAAATTTGTCGTGCAATGCCAGCGAACGTTTCACACAACGCCGTTCCAAACGGCTGTGGGACTTTGTGTTCAAGATCCCTTGTGAGTGGGTAGTGCAGCACAGGGACGACCAAACAGACTCATGAGCAAATACCTACCGATGTTGGGATGGTTGAGCACCTTCATTATTCTGACTTCCCTGAAAAGCTGCAAGAGGGCACACAGAAGAGCGGAGGCAACGTTACAATGGGGGAGAGTAGCAATGACACTTAACGAGGCTGTAAGAAGGTAGATCAAGGACAGAAGGCATACGCGCGCACACCAGCAACTTAAGAGGGTTGTTTAGCCAAACTGCACAACGCTGGGCAGTGTGAGTTGGTGGCAATGGCGTGGTAGCAGATTGACAATATGCGGCACAACCCCAGAAAACACATCGGAGAGAGCTATGCTTAAATCCAGCAGTAGATTGACAAAGGTGTGTATATGTGCATGAAGTTAACACAGTGGCATTTTCCACATGCTACTCCAACTGATTAGGAGGGTGGGTCAGGGGGGGAGTGGTGGCATAGCGGTTAGCGTACTCTATGAACCTGGATATCTGACCTCAATTTTTTATCCACAAATGATATCAGCATCAATTGATACCCCCACCCTGACTTCGCCAAACCATATGGATCAGCGTGTCGAAATATGGTCAAATAACCTGTAATGTCCAAAAAAACTTGGTGGAGGCATTCATCCAGCAGTGGATTGACAAAGTTGGTATCTAATTTTTGCTTTGTTTACCCCACCGATAAACGTAAGTTTGAAAAGCGGGAAAGAATGCTGCCTTTCTTTTATAAAGCTAAAACATAAAAAAACGGCAAAAACTGGTATGACACTTCCTTTTTTCACGTTAAAACCCACCATAGGCGTAGAGTGGGCAGTGGTATGGACGCCAGATAAACACGGCAAGAGCAGCTGCTGCGTCACAAGCCGCCAATAAACCGGCTTTCATCAGCAGGCGAGTAAAGTCGAGGCGTTACGGGAGGAATCCACAGGTTCAACAACAGAGGCGTCAGTACCGACCCCTTAACCAGCACCAACCCAAGTCCTCTTCTCTGCCATGCAGGTAGTGATAATTATAACAGATGCCAATTATTTACCCAGGAATGCCTCGCTGAGTATCTAGATTTATTTTCAGGATGGGTTTTTCTACATTGGGAAGTTCATTCATGAGGGGTTGGTATGTGGAAGGAACGTGGTGTAAAAAGGTAAAAAGGTGGTACGTTGAAATTTCCTTACACCACTCTACTAGGAGCTTGGGAATTTGGCCAACTCTTTCATGCTTGGCAGATGTCTTGGAAGAGGTGGGAGAACCCGCACTTTGCCCCACCATATGCAATCTGCAGAATTGTGGTATAACCCATTATATGAGGGAGGTAACACTTAAAGCGCTGCACAGATGTATTGATTTATCCAGGAAAATTTTACAGAGTCCCAAGACTTATCATCATGAAGTTCTCACTACGCAAATATGTTTGGCCAATTTCATGAAAGAGTGTTTGGCATTGCAGACAATGGCACCAACACTACATTTGGCACGTAATCCAACGTAAAATTAATAATTTACAACCACCTTTTGCAATCCACTCACGGATGAAGGCTTCTCCACATTTGTCAGTCATGAGGGCTGGGTTTTTTTTTATCATACTTCCCCACACGAGTTAAGAACAGCAGGTATGGAGGTGGAGGGCACTCGCCACTGATGCTAGTCAGGGCCGGCAATCAAACTCGGGTCTCCAGGTTCATCGTGCAGTGTGCTAACCACTGCGCCACCGCTGCACCATATCAACCATCGATTCTACATTATTAAAGCAAACTATTTTTTCCATCAAGAAGTGGAGGTAGTGCAGTATCGATACACACGTGATGAAGGTCACACATTTGTGTTGCACAACACGTGGGAACGGTTGTCCCACATCTATTAGTAATCATCATGAACCCATTAAGGGCAGCATGACACCACTCACTTGCCTTGCACTCCAGAGGGCCCTTCATTACAGTTGGCTATTTTACAGCCGTGTGTTAATCCACTGCTGGATGAAGGCCTCACCACGCCTTGTTGACCATGGCGGGTATTTGGACCATACTGCAACCACGCCGGTCAGTGCGGGTTGGTGAAGGCGGGAGGAGGCCAAGTCTGTTTCAGATGTCCCCCATCAATAATGTTAACTGCAACTGGGAAGGAGTGCAGGCATCATAGCTCAATGCGCTAACGACTACACGACCTCTCCACCCCATGATTCTCTATTATCTAAGAATAAATGTCGAAAGCTTTTATTTGTACTCGGAACAAGCTGCTTTTGCGACTTGAAAATAATTACCTGGAGCAAACCCCTCCACCCAACTTTTACTTTTAATTTGGGCGTGCTACTCCGAAAACTAAAACAAACTTGGCTCAGTTTTATTTGGTCTGAGCGAGTGACGTTTTTGTCAAGGCGGGTTTTCTCAAGCTTTGCATTGGCCATGACCCACGGCCCGGGGAAAGAAAGCCCCACTTTGCACGCAGCACTCTGCAATTGTCACGCGAAGAATGACGAATCTGTGACCATTGTACAGTGGGCCCGCTTCGTGTGAGCTGGACCGGAACGGGTCAGTCGGCAACAAGCAAAATTACACCGCAGGCACCGCCCACCAGCTCGCAACAATCGGAAAACTGATTAAACAATACATCTGTTTACTTTGCCATTCAATTGCTTTGAGAACGGAAACTCCTGAACTTTCAAGTGCCTTAACTGATAGCGTTTTTTTCTGTGCTTATATTACGAATATTTTACAATTAGAAAATCACAGCAGGCCAAGATAAAAAGAAGTTTAAACCGTCATTACCTTCTGCAAGCTGGAAGTGTTGAGTTGCGTTTTGTCGATAATTTTTACAGCAACCTGCAGGAAAGCAAACGCACCGTCACGTTTCACACCATTACACAGTTGACCGATGTCACGATAGAAAAATGTAGAATTACAACACAGTGCGTACGAATATATAATGGACAGACGTGACTTCATCCCGAAAGACATTGTACAGAAACGGTGTCATAAAAAAATAAAAGCAGTTAGTTCAGTCTCAGTCGGAATAAAAGAAAGTTTTTGATACTGGACTTAAACAGGGTCACCGGGAGTCGACACAGCACAAACTAATGGGGCAAGGGATTTCCAGACTACTATAGCGGCAGCAGAGGAGAATGTGTGACCTCCCACTGAGCTAAAGTCGACTTTGGGGCTTTGACAGCAAGTCTTGGATGCACAATTAAGTGGGGCTACATTTACAGCGTTGGACAAACACAAGTATGAAGAAAACCTCACCACGTTCGTTATTAAAAATGCCTTCTGCTAGAAGGGAGATTGCCTGAAACGTCAGTCTACTGTACACTTTTGTGTTTAACCATAATCAAATAAACGCTCGCTAAGTTAGTATGGTGTTCAAAGAAACACCTCCCGACAACAGAAATAAACACGCAGGCAGTTTGCATTATTCTCTGCAGGCCTCATTTCAAATTATGCCCGTCGCTATGATAATTAGCAACACTCCTTTCCAAGTGGCCATTGAACCAGTGCACTGCAAACACATTACGCAGTTAAATGTAGGAGGCAGTTTCTGCAACGATGGCATTTAACATAATGCGCTGCGAGTGATTAAATAGTAATGTATTAATAAACGCTTTGCAGCGTTTCTCTACAAAGTGCTGTTGAGTCGGAGGCTCCATCAAGACATCCGTAGCCGTTGCCAACGGGTTCACTGTACGACGTCCCACTCACTGTACCGACCATGAGACACACAACCTTTGTGCGGGGGCTGTAAATTATACCGCCAAAAGCCAAAGTTACCAGCTTTGTCAAAAGAGTGAAACGTGAAACAGCGCCTGCATCACCAGGTCTTCAATGCGCTCCAGACAGGAGGTGATCGGGGAAGAGAACCGTGACATGCACATGCATCCGATCGTTTTAACAAGTACATCCAACTCTCGATTATCCATGCGTTGGATTATCCGGGTTACAGATTAAACGAGCTGCTGAAATCTTTTTACGAAAATATCTTTACACGTGCCGCTCATTTCATTTATTTGCTGCTCCTCAGTCATGGGGGGGGGGGGGGGGGTCAATGATTCGGTACCCATGTGACAACAAACATTGATGCGAGTAGGCCAATTACTTCTTTGGGACATCTATCTACCCCCCCCCATTACCGCAGAAAATCGAGTTGATGATCAGACAATGAAGAAAAACCATTCATACACAAGCCACATAGGTAAGGTGCCCAGTTGTTGCTGTTGATACTTCGCAACCAGACATGCAATGCATAGGAAAAGCTATTTAATCGGTGTGTACTGATGACAAACGGATCGATTCAGATTCTTAAGCTCATAATAAAAGTGTCAATCCACGTGCATTCATAAAAGGCTTTGCATTTGGGTTAGATAGCGTAAATATAAATGTGTCGTTCAGCCACCACCACATGATACTGCCAATTAGTAAGGTTCATCACGTAAATAAAACATGCCAATTACTTACTTATAGGAGAGTAACCAACAAACGGGTGTGCTGAACTCGTAACTAATTGGCACGTTTTGTTTATGTAACAAACCTTACAAATTGGCTGTGTCGGGTGGTGGCGGGTTAACGACACATTTATATTGACAAGATCTAATAAAAAAACTTTATTATGGATATTGGTCGCGGAAAACTACGTGTTAAATTAACGTGTATTCAGAATCAACATTTTTTTTTACAGGTTTATGTTTTATGTAATGTGCTCACATCATTCCCGCAGCCACTAGAGTTGCTATCATTCAGTACTAGATAAAGTAATCCCTGCAGCCACAAGAGGTGCTGCCATTCAGCAAATTAATTGATTCTCGAATGAAATCGCAACGGTGAAACACGACAATTCATCGAATCGCCAGAGGGGGTGTGAAACGTTACATTCCAAGTAATTAACAACAAAAACAGGAAGCTATCTTGTCTTAAACCACTCTCTATAAAAGTTAGCACTAAGCAGCGGCAACGTCTGTTGGACAACTTAAAAAAAAAAGACTTGAGAAAAAAGAAGCACTCACACGAACTGGCTAGACATGTGACAATCCATTATTTAACAAGCCCAAACCCAGCTGATGAAACCCAGAAGTTCAAAAACGGTCGAGCATGTTCTTGCTTAAACAAATGCTTCGAGATAATATTGGTCTGGAAAGCCAATAGGCCAATGGATTAAAATATATTCTTATTTGTTTGTGGAAATGCAAAATGACATGTTCTTACATGTGATTTTTCCCATCAATTAATGAGATCCATACGCTCACCATAACACACATAGTACTCATTTACAAGACGTTCCATCACTTATTATTGCTAAAATAAACATGCAAATTATATGCAAACGTTACATTTAGCCCAATTGAGCAACCATACATTGCACAAACAAGGCAGGATACAAACGTGATGGCCAAAACGAAACAAAAAAAATGGGATTATAAAAAAAAAACATTTTATTTAATCGAATCGTCATTTCCCAAATCGTGACGAGTCGTTAAATCACTGGGAAAGTGAACCAGCCCCTGCTAACTACCATGCCCAACAGTCGGATTCAGCGGGAGACATTTTTTGTCTTGCAATAAGCTCACATGATGAAGGCGGAGATGAGAGATTCAGCCAACGCTCGATTATCCAGCGTAATAGGGATGCAGTGGTGGCCCAGATAAAACAAAAAATATAAATGATGTAAAGCATCTCTAATTTTGGAAATAAAACTAATTTATTGTTCATCTGCGTAGAACTGGGGCCAAGACGTAGAATGTGCAGTTTTTATTGCTTATTTAAAAGTGATTGGTTTACTTGCCGACGTGTTTGTGGTCACGTGGGCGCCAAGTCATTGTCACTCTACGAGTGAGGGGCAGCAAAAAATTAAGCGGGCGCATTTAAACATATTTCATTAATTTTCCAAGCAAGCACGGTTTCATCGGTAATCGAAATAATCCATCCACAAATAATAAAGAGTTCACGATAGACGCAAAATCACAAACGAGAGTCGGCACTCGCGAAAACATCACGATCCATCCCGCATCTCGCCATCGCTTGTATCTCGTGAGCCGCACCTCCTGCCCGGTGAGCGTGTGCTTTGCCAGCTTCACTTTGGCGAAGTTGCCCTTGCCGATGGTCTTGAGGAGCCGGTAGTTGCCCACCCGTTGGGTCTGGCCCGAGGGCGGCTGGGCATCTTCTGCCGAGTTGGAGAGCGGGCTCCGGCAGCGCAGCGATTGGCCAGCTTTGCTCCCGACCTCAGCGGGGCCATCTCCCACGACGGGCGGCTGTTGTGGCGGGCGAGAAGGCGCACGGGAGGGGAGGGAGAGAGAAAGGGGTCAGAACATCGAGAGGAAGTTATGATGAAAACAAACCGCTTCCTGAATGGAAAAGCGCCCGTGCATATGCGTGCCAACCAGTGTTTGAACTCTACTTGGGGACCATATTTTCTGCTGCTGCTGTTTGTGTGTGTTTGTTTTCTTTAAACACAAAGATTACGAGTTAGACTGAGGTACCCCTTTTCTCCAGGTATCACGTAGCAGATGTGCTAAAATCGCACTTCGATATTCATACTCGGAATGCAAACTGGAGCCGAGGGAAAGCGGTGACAGCTATTCCATTAAGCCGTTAAATGGCACGTATGGCTCAAAACGGGTATTTATAACCCCTCGTCAGAAAGATCTGAACGATCGGTAGAATCACAGCGTTGAGAGGCGCGCAGGGCCACAATTAGACTTGACACTTTTATTTCCTATAATTAATCAGGGAGGGGTTTTTTTTGTCTTCTGTGTCACAGCCTGGCATCAAGAGACGACAAAATAGCACACTGGGCAGTGGGGAGGACAACAGGCCGCTTCTTAAATTAACCCAAATGGCACAAACTCTTGAAACACGCAAGCAACTATAATTTATCTTAGCACAGTGCTGCATTGGTATAACTGCCTAAACACATGTCCAACTACCACAGAATTCGTTTTCTTCAGTGGAGTACAACGTCGCCTATCTGACTCACTGGGAATTGAGGCATAGCCGGACATGTGAAATGATGAGATATATAAACCACCGTAGAATATTAGTTACACTGTGAGAAAATAGGTCACTGGACTAAAAATTCTCCTTTCAAAACACTTCTTAAACAAGGAGAAATGCCTTGCTGTGCTTCAGAAGTGAGCGAATGTATGCAACTTTTACAATACTATTGCAAGTGAAGAAGGCAGCATTGTGAACATCTGTAGAGAATGACAGTTACAGACACCACTGCGCACACAGCGTTGGGGACATGGGTGGTCAATTAGCGAGGGTGGATATGGGGACGTTGTACTGTCCCATCGGCCAGTCTCACAGGCAAACAGCATCAGCGCTGTTGACACTGGTCACTCAGTTCTCATTATAACTGGGCCCCATGACCCACGATGAGTACTCGTGACCCCCCCAGAAACCCCGGACACGTTACCGGCCCCGCAGCCGGCGCTTGCACGACCAAAAAACGTCCAAAGCTCGGCTCCGGGGGGTTGGGGAAAGACCCAGCTGGTTCGGCTACTCTAGTGGTGTCCCAACATTCGTGTGTTTCTTTATTTCTTTCCTTCCAGTCAGCCAACCGGCTACTGTAAAGGCAAACTATGGCCGGGCAAACGGACGCTGAGGATCGAGCGCCGTTCCATTTAACACGAGGGTGCAAAAGTTATTATCTCAAACACACGACGGAAGGAGCGCACACACACACACACACGTGGGGGTGGTGGTGTGGGGGACACGACAGGGAGTCGCGTCTTGTATCCACACCAAAGTAATTTACTTGGCAGCAGCGACGGGCAACGATAGCAAGCACACTCTCAGGAGATACAGCAACGCACCGAACACCGGGCGAGCAATACAGCAGACGACAGAATACCTGTGTAGTAGTGTACCCGCCCTAACGCGGAACACCCAACAACAAAGAACATTTAGTGCCGTGCCACAGTCAGGCACAGTAACACCGCACGGGCACACCACGCGCACACTTAACGCCCAGCAGGATGCTCCAACACCCACACAGACGGAACAGTAAACACACTGAATACACACGTTGGAGCCCTGCACACTCTACACAACCAGTAGGAGACACCCAGCACTTAATAACATCCAACAATATAACACCCGGCACACACGACGACAGGATATACGGTGCATCGTATACCCACAATGCTGTACAGCGACAACTCAGCATCGTGAATACTTAACAGAATGCACGCAGAAGATGGTACACGTGACACGGTGAATACGCAGAAGCTATGATTGAACATACAACACAGAGCCAGCCCACACTATAGCCAGCATAAAGAACACTCAAGATTGGATACACCCAATAAGAGCCCAGCCATCACACAGAACAACTCAGCCACAGTGCTGTACAAGACAAAGTCCATCCAATACTCGGTACAGCCAACACACTACGCCCGACGCACAAAACACCCGGCACAGAAATAGGCTCGGCACACTATTCCAGACAGTACATCCCAAAGAGTACAACCAACAACACACAGCCCATCGCTGGATATAGTGCACATCAGAGTCCACATCACAACACAGCCCAAACACACAATACCCATCTACAATACATGTGTATTGGGTTAGATCGCGTAAAGATATAAATGTTGTCGTTAAACCCGCCACCACCCGACACAGCCAACTAGTAAGGTTTGTCACGTAAACAGAACGTGGCCAATTCGTCACTAGTACAGCACTAACCGGTGTGTTAGAGAGCCAAACCACAACATTTACAATCTGAGTACGACGTTTAACCTGGTGTGCTTTACTTGTAAACAATTTGCATGTTCTGTTTACGTGACAAACCTTACTAATTGGCTGTCCGGTGGTGGCGGGTTTAACGACAACATTTATATCTTTACGCGATCTAACCCAACAAAAAAACCCTGTATTATGGATGATATTGGTCACGAAAGCCAACATGTTAAACACACAATACCCAGCGCACAATACAACCGGAACAATCAACCCTCAACGTGTATGTCTGTATGCTGAACTGCTTTCGCAGGGTGCGTATCCAGCCGTGCTCATCGGAGGTGTTTCCGTCAACAAAATACACTCAAAACAGTGCACCGCATAAACACACCCAACACTCAACTACCAACACAACATGCAGAACACCGGGCAAGAAAGTATCCCCAGCTTACAGGACGCAACTCGTACACCACGTGTTGAGTATACAAAATACTGGAGACATCGTACAACACCCATTCCACCTTACACTCAGAACACCGAGCCCACGGTACAGTATACAAGTACAATAAGTTCAACATGCAAACAGTTCAACATCCATCTTATAAGGTACACAATGCCCGCAGTGCACAGGAAATATTACACCCATCACCAGCGAACTGGCCCACAATACGCTCACGACATTACCAGGTAGATTATGTCACACCCAGCACAACACTGTACTCACAGTTTGCTGTAGATAGGAAATTATCCATAGCACGCAACATTTAACACACCGACCATTGTACTTTAACAGCAGTCAACGCAGCATAACATTTACAGGCGGCCTTCCCACAACCGGGGGGTTGTTTGACCATTCTTCATCACCCCGCCACCTACTGCATACTGGCAGAGGGCCTCCCAGGATCGGATCTCGTCCAGACGTCACTCACCATTAGATGTCAGCGGCCGTGGCAGGAAAATCGATCTCAGGTCGCCGGGTTTACGGCACAGTGCGCCAAGAAACCCGGGGCACAACTCACCGCTGGCTCCCCCGCACCCAAGCGAACATGGCACGAAAATAGTCCGAAAAAAAGTGGCACTCTCAGTAAAAGAGGGCAGAGCAGAGGCGAGCACACGCGGCTATTTACAGCTCTGGCTGGACCATTGTGCCACTATTGTATCATTACAGCTCTTTGGGGCCAGGCCCTTAAAACGCGTAAGCGTCAAAAAAAGAAACCCAACCGGTATGGACACAAGGCGATGAGTTATTAAAGCGTGGGTGCGTTAGTCACAAGGAGGCGAGGCGACACCGGCAGGCAGACAGGCACCGAGAGGGAGGGGAGGGAGGTGGGGAGTAGGAGGAGTAGGAGGAAGACGGGTACCATGCACGCGTCGGGGGTTAGTTTATCGCTGAAGTCGGTGGCCCATCACGCCAACAAAATGTACACCTGAATCAGATGACATTGGTGTATTATTGTACAAGGGACAAGTTAGAATGAGAAACTAAAGTCCAGTAAGGGGCACAACGGTTTGCGTTCTTATTTTGTTGGCCCATTACGCCATCGAAACGTAACACGAGATGACATGGGTGTATGCAAGAGATGACACGGGTGTATTGTCAAAGGGGCTAAGATTGAGCACTTCCATTCTCGTGAGAAGGATAAACTAAAGTTCAGTGAGGGACACGTGTTTGGTTAGATTATAGTGCTTAGTCGTCGGGGCCCATCATGTCACCACGCACTGTAACATGAAGGAAACGACATTGGGTGTGTATTGTTTAAGGGTTAATGTTGTGTACAGTCTTATCAGGATGAGAAATTAAACTGCAGCTGCAGTGAGTGGCGCATCATGTCAAGAAACAGGTAACATGAGATGACATATGACATGACATGCGTGTATCGTATAAGGGCTAAGAATGAGCACTTATTCTGATTACAGTGAGAAACTAAAGAGTTGCATGTTTGGTGAGGATATTTTGTTAGTTATTGGCCATAAAAAAAATATCGCACAAGACTGCGTGAGTGTATATCGTCTCAGTGCTAAGGTTGAGTACTTTTTCTTACCAGAATGAGAATGAAAACTGTCAGTGATAGTACTCTTAGGTTTTTTTGGTAAAGTCACGTAGGTAAAAAATGTAAATAAATCCAAGAGTATGAATCCTTGCAGTCACGAAAGCTTCAAATCTAGAATATCAGTGATAGGCCAGAAATTATATTGGTGGTGGCCCATCGAGCCATCAAAATGTAACATGAGATGACATCAAAGTAAGAATGAGATGACTTGAAGTGACGTGGGAGTATGAATGAAATGACAAGAGTGTATTTCATAAAATGCTAAGACTGAGCGCTTGTTCTTATTATGCGAAACAAAACTACAGGAGGCACACGTTGAGTCAGATTGCTATTTGCTCGTGACACATCATACCAAAGTGGCATGCATCAGTGTGTGTTTGTGCAAAGTACATGAAATACGATTGGGTATGCTATTATCAGAACGAGAAGCCAATGTCAAGTGAGGCACATGATTAGTTGGGTTAAGTTTTTGTTGTATGTAGAACTTCTTTTAGTACAGTACATAGCCAACCGTGCTACTCGAGGTGACAGAGGACAACAAACTAAGCACATCAAGCTATCAACAAGTAACTTGAGATGACATGGGTGTATGAATAAGATGACATGGGTTTATTGTCCATGAGTAACGATTGAGTACTGTACGCATTCTGACCAGAATAAAACAACCTCTAAACGGCGTTAAGAGACGACAAACTAGGTTATATTCTATGGTTCTTTTCGTAAAGTCACGTAGATGGAAAAAAGTATTTATAAAGTTATTAAAAATATCACGACGTTTCGATCGCAACACAAACGACCGCTTGTGTTGCGATCGAAACGTCGTGATATTTTTAATCACTTCATTTTTATTTAGTCTGTCTACGCGACTTACGGAAAGAACCATAGAATATGAATTCCTGGCAGTCACGAAAGTTTGAAGTCAAAACTAGTTATGTTTTAGTTATTGGTGAATCACCTCACCATGAGCAATTAACATGGATAAGAGGACAATGATGCATTTTCGAAGGGATAAGATTCAGTTGTACGATATTTTGATCTGAATTAGAAAACGAAATGCCACATTTTAGGTGGTCTCAAAATTTCCAAGTGGCTTCACTCACCCACAGTGACTCGCCGATTGAGTAACAAGCCTTTCGACTGTGTTGGGTCAGAGTTGGGGGAATGTTTTGACTACCACAGAGAAAGGTATAAAGGGAGAATGTGAGGTTTTTTTTTATACTCCTTTACACACCATACAAATAGAAATTCCGAAACTGACCACTGATTTACCGCTTACCAGGGAGTGGACAAGTGGAGCAGTTCGTCAGTGCACTGCTTTTTGACCACGGCAAACCTGAGTTCAATTCCCAGTCACGGCTAACATCAGTGGCGTGTGATATCCGAAATTGCGCCAAGTATTCCCCTTCACCGATATGCACACTGCCATGAAATATGGCTAAACAGCTCAGTATTAATTAACCATAACCCTCGAGTGTTATCCACACACACACTGCAAACACCTCGGTGCCACAGGTCTTGTTGCAAAGTGACAGGATTCAGGGGTCAAGACCATTTGTGTCCAGTCAGGGTTTCTATGTACAGCATATTTTAACCTGACATGATTTGACACTGCTTATCTGCATTATAGATGGCCCCAAACGCCTCTCTAAGTCCTATGGAAGGACTGTTCTGTGTTAAACCCGCCCAGCTCTTCGGTGGAGAAGGGGAGTGTGTGTGTGTGGGATCAAGTGAAGATCTGTCCAATGCTCTGTCCTCTTACACCTGCTGGCCTTCCCATACTTCTCTGACGTACGCACCTCGTTAGCCCTCCCACGCGCACTGTGAAAACTGGGCCACTGGGCAGGCATTTCTTTGGCAGGGTTCTTGGGAGTTGAGCCAAACATAAATCTCAATCTAGACAATGATTAATATGGGAGGCTCACCTCTCGTGCCACCTCAACTTTGTAACTTCCTGGCCATAGCATCTTGTTTCAGTCAACACCATGGTGGCCTCTTCACGTCATTTTTGCCTTCCATATGTATGCTGAACTTCTTTCACGCCGTACGTGGCCAACCGTGCTAATCGGAGGTGCGGGGGGGAAGGACGACATATCCTGATATCCTGACCCTGCTTAATTAAAATAAATACCCATTAGTTACCAATGTTTGTTGCTCACTTGTTGCCCTATCTGGTGGCCCAGAAAATAGTTTTAAAACGACGGATAAAGATTGTGAAGGGCCTACCTACCTCATCGCCCGACCCACATCTCTAACCTTCCAAAGCTCTCCAGCCTCTTCACCTCCTCTGGCCTATCCACACCTCAGCCTTCCGACACCTCTTTCAAAATTCCTACTCACACGGCCTCCACACCACTTCCGGCCACAACACCTCCTCCTTGGTCCTGAACACCTGTTTGCAAGCTTCCCCTCTGCACTGGCCTCCACACACACTTGTGTGTGTGGGTAGTGGTGGAATGGCCAAACAAAGTGGGAATGACGAGGTTTTGAGACGGATGAGGTGTGGAGACCACTACTGGGTATTTATTAAAAAAATATCTTCACAGCTCATGGGATTCCTCCAATATAAATACATATTCTGATACACCGCCGAAATCCGGACCTTGAAAAAAATTGTATCTTAACATCCTCTCCTGAATTGATTTCAAGTTTTCCTCTCCTGCCTGTTCCAACACTTGATGAGCCACCGCTATTCTACATCATCAGCCGACCTGCTCCACCTACACCACCTCTCCAGTCTATCAGCCTCCATCAATATCATTCACCTTCACCACTATTTGGCCATCCCAGATTTCCAACCATAATCATCCTTCATACCTCTCAGTCTATCATCCTCCATCAATATAATTCACCTTCACCAGTGCCGGACTATTTGTCCATCCCAGATTGCCAACCATAATCATCCTTCATACCTCTCAGTCTATCAGCCTCCATCAATATCATTCACCTTCACCAGTGCCAGACGATTTGTCCATCCCAGATTGCCAACCATAATCATCCTTCATACCTCCCAGTCTATCAGCCTCCATCAATACCATTCACCTTCACCATTGCCAGACTATTTGTCCATCCCAGATTGCCAACCATAATCATCCTTCATACCTCCCAGTCTATAAGCCTCCATCAATATCATTCACCTTCACCAGTGCCGGACTATTTGTCCATCCCAGATTGCCAACCATAATCATCCTTCATACCTCTCAGCAGAGGTGTGGACTCGAGTCATGTGACTTGGACTCGAGTCAGACTCGAGTCATGAATTTGATGACTTCAGACTCGACTTGGACTTGCATAACAATGACTTTGTCCCACCTCTGCCTCTCAGTCTATCAGCCTCCATCAATATCATTCACCTTCACCAGTGCCGGACTATTTGGCCATCCCAGATTGCCAACCATAATAATCCTTCATACTTCGTTAGTTCCACATCGTGGCCCAACAACAGCCATCGAATGACCATCAATCACACTTTGCCCCACGTTACCTGCCTCCGCATCTCCTCGGGAATCCCAGACGCACCAACATCGTGAGCATTCACACACACACACCTTGTCGACCTCTCCCACACCCCACCTCATCAGCCATCAAACCTTGTCGGACCCACCGCAACTCTTTCTGTCCCCATGTCTCCCCCAACATTGTCACACCCAGCGCTTACTTGTTTCGACTCGGAAACCGTCGGTAGAGGCGGTCTCGTCGACATCTCGGCGGTGGCGTTTCTTCCACTTGAGTTTTGTTTTCACAAGACGAGGAACGACAATTTCAAAAAAGAAATAAAAACAAACAAAAAACAAAAGCTGTGTAGGAATGACTTCTCAGTGGCAGCTGGACGGATGACCCAATTCGCCAAGTTGTTGGACTTGACGGATATGTTCAGCAAATTAAAAGACGAACTTCTTTCAATTCAAAAAGAAACAAAAACTCACAAAGTTCTGATTGGATTCTTTAATTATCCTTAAGACGAACAATAAAAGCAACTTGTGTCGCTTTTACACAAACGTCCAACCCAAACTCAGAGACGGTCGTTAAGGCTCAGCCATTACCAAGTTGCTTGAAACAGCTTCGCGAGTTCCAGATCTTCTCCAAAATCCTACTGCCCCCACCCCCCTCCTATGGGACCCCTAAGTTCCTAAAATCCTTGGACTGAGTCCTGGGATTCTTTCTATAAAGATCCCTGTGCGGACCGACTCCAGGTGTCCCGAATCTCTGATAATTCCACGCGGTTCCCGAGTGCGGAATCTATGGGGTTCTGTGCTACGGATATCTCTGTACCGAGGCTGGATATCTCTGTACCGAGGCTGGAGATCCCTTAACCGTGTCGGAATTCGTCCCCGAGTAGAGATCTTCCCCAAGCAAAGTCCTGGAGTCCCTGTGCCGAGACTAAGGAACCTTGCGCTGAGTTCCGGGGTCTCTCAGTCTTAGGGGGTGGTCCCTAATCAGATCCCCCAGGGATCGATGCGCTGAGTATAGGGGGGGCTCCTGTATATATCGATTACCAGGTGTCCCTGAATCTCTGGGGGTAGCAAGTCCCAATGACCCCTTCTCCAAGTTCTAGGAATTCCTGCCGAGCTGGGCGGAGTGGGGGGTCAAGGGTCTGGGACCTCCCCGAGCACCCGATCGCTTCGAATCCGCTCAACGTCGGGCTCTCTGCAGCTCCTTTGCCGTATCCCTCTTATCTTCTTCCCTCTTCAACTGCGGCTGCTGTTGCCGACGATGCTGCTGAGGATGACGAGGACGACGACGATCAGGACGAGACGACAGCAGCACCAGTAGAGACATGGGACGAAGCGTGGAACCTCTCCGTCGCCTCCTCCCGTTGGCCGCCCTGATGCAGCGCGGCACGGGCCGCCGCTCAGCGCCTCGCGAACATGGCGCGCGGGCGGGCCGACGAGGGCCGTGACGCCGGCAAGGCAGACATCTTGCTCAGGGACGCACGCGCACCGCTCCCCCGCCGCACGCGCACCAGCCCCGCTGCGTCAACACCCAGTTACGGGCCCCGCCCCTTGCAATTAGCTCAGCGTAGCGAAGGTGGTCCCTTACCAAGATGTCCGCCCCGCGCGTCACGTAGCTCAGGAGCCCCCCCCCCCCTCCCCCCCCCGCGGCCACCGGCCGCCATCTATAAGTCTGTTTACTACGGGGTTGCATTTCGTAGTGCGGATAAGGCGCGTCCGCCTCGCGTCGTCGTCTCTGATTGGTCAGCCGGTGAGCGACGAGGCGTGGCGCGCGCGCTCACCCCCTCCACCGTTGCGCATCCGCTGTGGGAAATGTGAAAGGATCGGTTCCCCCCCTCCCCCCCCAATCCCCCTCCCCGGCACGCTGTGTTCGGAAAACTTTACGGAAATATCCGAGCGGCCACGAAGATGACGTCGGGGCCCTACCTTGTTGCCGTACCTACCTCGAGCGTTGATGGTGGTGGGGGAGGGTTGCGTCATTGATGGTGGCCCAGAACCCAGAGGCTGAAAATGATTATGAAAGTTTTTTTCGTTTGAGTCTCACGCCCTCCTCGCGCTTATTGAAAGTTCGTGAGAATCGGAGGAGCGTTTATTTGTCGTTCTTCTCGTTGCAACGAACATAAACAATGCTCAGACATGATTTAAAGCCTTTCGTGACTTCAGGAATTCATACTCTTTGGATGTTTTAATCGGAAAGAGACCAGATGGCTCATTGGGACACTGTCTAAAACCTGACTCCCACCACCATCCAGCCCAGAAGAATTCCCTCATCAAAACCCTACACCATAGGGCCCGTTGCATCTACGACCAGCACCACCTAGCCAGTGAACTGGAGCACGTACACCAAGCCCTCAAGATGAATGGATATTCGGACCGCACAGTCCGCAAAGCTGTCACCCCAACCGTGGGGAGAGAACCATCTGAGGACCCAATCAAAACCATCACCTTGCCATACATAACAGGGGTCACCAATTTTTTTTCCAAAGTCATGAACAAACACGTGATCCAGGTTCGATTCAACACAGTACATAAAATTCGTGATCTGATCCCAGCTGTGAAGGATGCAATACCCCGGTGTCTACAAACTAAGTTTTGTCTGCGGCAGTAGTTACATTAGGGGAAACTAAGCGACATGTTAACCCAGCTTAAATATACGCTGCCAAGCTTGGTGGTGCTCATTCAGACGCTGTCTTTCCGACAGACCTGTTCTTCACCTGAGGACGGCTGCTTGCGTTGTGGCCGAAACGTCGTGAGAATTATATTTTATTATGTTTTATTTTTATTATTTTATTATTTCCCTTCTATGTGACTTTACCGAAAGAACCAAGAAGATGAATCCCTGCAGTCATGAAAGCTTTAAATCGAAAAATACCAAACAGACGGCATTCGCCACGAAGTCACGGGCGACGTCGTCCGTGCCAGGTCTAGGTGCAACCTTTGAGGGCACGTGAAGTTGTCGAAGGTTCGCTGACAAAGGAGGTCGCGGGACACGAAGCTTAGGTGACCATGGGGTTGAGCGACTTGCGGTGACTTGGCGGATATACCGGCTGCGGTGCCCACCTGCTGTAACAACCTGTGGGTCACATAATACGAGGCTGACATTTCTTTCCAACCCTGGGGAACCCTGTACAACTACCACCGTCTTCTCTCCCTCACCCACTCTCCTAATCTCACACCAGAGGTCGCAAACGGGTTTTGATTCCTTACCCGTACCCGGCCGCACCAGGGTCGCAAACGGGTACCCGTACCCGGCCGTACCCGTACCCTACCCGTACCCGGCCAGGTACGGGTAGGGTACGGGTATCGGGTACCTGATTGCGACCTCTGGGATGAAGCCATGTTGCTGGCGCAGGTGGGTTGATTCTAGGAACTTGAAGTGTGAGAAGAGACAAGACGTTGGGAAATGAGTGACAAACGGTTACTCACCAGTGACTCACGGTCTACCCGTACCCGTACCCGGCCGCACCAGGGTCGCAAACGGCTACCCGTACCCGTACCCGGCCGGGTACGGGTAGCCGGGTATTGGGTAGGGTACGGGTATCGGGTACCCGGTTGCGACCTCTATCTCACACCGCCAAAAGTATTCTCCTCACGCATCGCTCAACCACCATCAACTGGGATGAATCGAATAATAAAAAAGGGAACCGTCCGTTCCGTTACCTAAACCACTGACTTGCCCTTTGTCAAGCCACTGCTGGATGAAGGACTCGTCACACTCAGTCGTGGGGGGAGAGGGGGGTTGTTTGACCATACTTCACCACGCTGGTCATTTGCAAGTTGCTGAAGGAAGGGGGGTGGCCCAGGTTTGGAAGGAAATGTCATGCGCATAGTATGGGGCCCACAGGTCCCCTTGAAGAGTTCTCAGAAGTTACGTGATATCAGCTTCCGCGGGTCATCCTCGAACAGAGAGATCCAAATGGATTATATTTATGACGCCGGTAGCATAAATCTGGATAAAATTGGGTCAATGAACAATATAATAATGAATGTGTAGATTGCATTTTCACCGATACATAATCCCATTCGTAATCCATAACAGTTTGGCAAATATTATTAAGTGAACACTTTAAAAAACACACACAAAACTAAACTAAATCTGGTTTTAAACATCCAATATTATGCACTCATTTGTGTGTTTTTGTTTCCACAAGTCTGCTCGTGGCCGTCACCATTATTATTATAATTCACTTGGTATATATTTGGAAAGAAACATCAGAGAGTGCGGGTAACACATTCGTCAATAACATTGCCTTAAAAAGAAAAGGTGACGTTTTGGGCAATGACCCTTCAGAGCACATTTAGAGAGGGGCCGGTAGGCAGAGTGAGAGGTCAACAGGACTGTTGTCTGGGTCAGAGTTTCAGAAATGCAACGATACCCCAAAACAGTTTACCTGGAAACCCTTTTGTCAATCCACTGCTGGATGAAGGCCTCTCCCACACCGTGATGGGCCTGCAGGTTATTTGACCATACTTCACCACGCTGGTCAGTGCAGGGTTGATGAACAGATGCATTTAACAAAGTAAAAAAAACCCCACAAACTTAATAAATTGAGTCAGGAGAATGCGAGCAATCTCTGAAGCTAAGCAGAGTTTACACCATTGGAACCTCATTTGCCAGTAAAAAATATGATAATTGATTTTTTACCCTATTTTTAAAAAGGTGTCAGTTTTGTTGCCAGATAAAAGGGTAAAAAATCAATTATCTAAGCAGAGTTGACCCTGGATAAGTGCCTGGGATGGGTGACCGTCATACATAAACAGGTATTATAGGCTGCAGCTGCTACGTGGGCTACGTCAATGTGGGCAGCAGATGACTTATGATATATTGTACTATACGGCTATGCTCCCACGGATGTGCTCCCTCGCCTTCACCAATATGAATGACCAGCGTGGTGAAGTAAGGTCAAATAACCCCACGACCAGCACGGCGTGAAGTCGGTGTTCATCCAGCAGTGGACAAAACTGTACTGCACGACGAAAGGCTGAAACATTTTTTTTAACGAAGCAGTTGAAAGTGCACCGGGCGCCATCTGCTGGATCGTGTGAACATTTGTGATTGTAAACATCGTCTGAGATGTCATAGATTTGGATTTAAAGCTTTCGTGACTGCAGGGATTCATATTTTTGGTTCTTTTGGTAAAGTTTTTAGAAGGGAGAAATATAAAAAATATATATATTTATTTTTTTATATTTTTTATTTTATTATTTCCCTTCTACGTGACTTTACCGAAAGAACCAATAATATGTCATAGATTGTCAAGGATGTAATGATGTGATCGTCCACAGTCGTGGGGAAGGGTCACATATACCTGTCAATCCCTTATCAGCGCCTATCTTATTACAGACGAATCCAGCCCCCGTTGGTCACCACGTGCCCTTATAAAATCTCTGATTTGTTCTGTCTTCGAGCATCAGCGAAAATTGTGTTATAAGTTGAAATAATTATAATTATTATGACAGTGACGTGAAATCGTGATGAGATGAATGATGATGTTGTGAGAGGCTGATGGATGAAGATGTGGTAAAGAGATGGATGGTAATCCAGGAGATTCAATTATGGTTTCGGTTGCCACCTGTTCTATTCCCAAGATTATCTTCTTTTTAAGGTGGCTGTGATTTGTTTACTTTTCCTATACGTTGCACTCATGTCATGTTTTTGTTCATCGTTTGATGTTGAAACGTTCTGACCTGCCCCTACTGGACATTTGTGAAAAAGAGCTTCATATCTCTTCAGATTCCTTCGATATAAATACATATTCTGAATAATCGAGTTTTTTTTCAGTTGCGTGTAGTTCTCCCCTCTTCTTGGTTCTTTCGGTAAAGTCACGTAGAAGAGAAATAATAAAATAATAAAAATAAAACATAATAAAATATAATTCTCACGACGTTTCGGCCACAACGCAAGCAGCCGTCCTCAGGTGAAGAACAGGTCTGTCGGAAAGACGTCTGAATTAAATTGAAATTGAGTTCTCCCCTCTTCAGGTATGCGGCAATTCGTCTTTCCACGACATGTCCCGTTTTATTTGTACTGCAGATGTAGCAATCCTCCGGATGATGTGGGAGTGTTGGTGGATTGTGATGTGGTGGATGGATGTATATTGCTGTGAGCGTGTATCGTGATGTAGGTGATGAAGCAAACGTTGCAATGTGTCTCACGCACATACAAGACGCATCACATTCCGAAATCTGTGCTCCCTTTAATACATGTATTGTGTATAAAAACCCAGTTTTCAAAACAAAGAATGCAAAACTTATACCGGAAGTACCACGACAAGTAAACACAGTTGTTGCTCGTTAGTCGATTATCCGATTCGCCGTCAACTATTAGAACACCTACCGACGTTGTACTTCTAAAACTCTTACCAGTTGGAAATACCGTCGTCACAATTTCCAAAGGTCCATCGCGCCATCTTGTGGGAAAAGACTCGTAATGCATGAATATACAACCGACAGACACGTA